AGGTGCTAAATACCATATACCTGATAACACACCATATATAAGGTAAGTAATAGCACACCATACATAAGTAATAACACACCATACATAAGGAATAGCACACCATATATAAGTAATAGCACACCATATTTATACGCAATAACACACCTTATATAAGTTATAGCACAACCAACGTATTTCAATTATTGTTGTCTTTTATATTTTTTCAGATATTTTGTGAGTTTTGTGATACAGTTCCAGTTTCATCAAGCTTTATGTAAAGCAGCCAATCAGACAGGACCATTACACACATGTGATATATATCAATCTAAAGATGCTGGCAAATTACTCGGGTAAGATTATAGTATGTGTAGTGCCTGTGACGTCACCAGCCAATCAACCGGATTAAGGTTGTAATTGAAAATTTGAAAACCGTTTTTGGCTTTCGGATACTTAAAACTTAATAGCTGAATTAATTTTAATCAGATTGGTTTGAACTTGCCGTAAAATGGCTACAGTAACCATTGGCTGTAAGTACATGCAACTAAGATTTTTCACGTTACGTGGTCTTTAACATCAATAGATAACAGCTTATTAATGGCATCATGCAGCGGTCTTGATCTAGCTAAGATCATACTTTACTGAAATATCAGAGTCAAAAGGTCTAGAAGCAAAATGTCCCCCATAACACACTACATGGTGCATGATCGTCTTCATTAGCCCAGTCGGTGCCGTCCTTTTATCTTTACACAAGTTGATTTAAGCTTGCATTGAATAGCGTCATTCTCTTTTTTTTTTTTTTTAAATACTGTGATTTATTTCAGTGATATGCTAAGACTTGGAGCCTCGAAACCATGGCCGGAAGCCATGGAGAAAATAACAGGCCAGAGGAAAATGGATGTCGGTCCTCTGGTTGAGTATTTTCAACCACTAATGAAGTGGTTAGAAAAGGAAAACAAACACGAAAGACCCGGATGGAGTGAAGCTTGCCCCGGTACATCCGATTTTCCAGTTATAGATAAAAGGAATAATGTTCGTATACCCACCGCAGCAGCTGCCTTGGTTAAATCATTACATATTATAACATTAATCTGTTTAATCGTATCAGTTATGATATAACGTTAATGTACTTGTATTCATTAATTCATTCATAATCACGTGAATGTGTTTTGGTTATAACTTTTAAATTCAGATCAGGGAAATTAATGAGGTAAAAAATTAAATTACAGCTAGATAGTTATTAGTTATTTGACATTAAATGAAATAAGAAAGATGTCATATTCTCCGTATCTCCACTAACCCCAGGGTTAATCTGGGGGGTGGGGGAACACGTTTTCAGGTTTTCCGCCCTTGATGGTTGTGCTATTTTTATCGATCAAAGGAAGTTGGCAAAGGGAAGTAACTCTCACCGGATAAGGTTGGGCGTTAGCCTAAATGAGAGAAGTCCAAATTATTCTAAATGCGTATATTAACAACAAATTATATAATATTATATGAATCAAGACCGGGCGTTTATGCAGTTTTTTGATTGGTTGCTAGACTATAGCTACAATCAAGGCCAGGGCAGTGGATAGTGGAGTAAAGGAATGAGTACTCTGGGAATACCGAGGATGTGGTCTGGTATGCGACGGTTCTTTCGGTGAAAGGGTCCTAGTTGGTATAGATGTTGGATATAGTGGGTATATACCATTCCTCTATCATCACGTGATGGCTTACCCATCGGATTCAATGAAGAAATATGTTTTCCCAGCAATAACTAGGATGTCCTAATCTCATTCTGATTAAAACACAGATCCTATTTCCTTTCGTTTTTTATAGTTCAATATTGGGTTTTACTTGTCTATACTACGCTAGGGTCTATAAAAATTGTTATATAACCTGCGTTTTGGTTGATGTGGGGGATTAGCCAAAAAAACGGTCTGTTCCAGCGACTTTTTGGTGTTGGATGCACGGAACTGTGGGTATCCTATTCAAAACATCAGATGTCTGACGTCATAGATTCAAAAGCCGCCGTATGACCCCTGACGCGACCCCCAACAACAACTGGTCAGATATTAATGTAGTTGACCCATCGAAAGTATAAAAAAAAACGAAACGAAATATAGATCTGTATTTTAACCAGATTGTCTTAATCTCATTATAATTTGTCCTATTTCTTGTTCGGATAGCGACTCTAAATGGTAGTTATATAAATACAGGAGATCTATCGCCATTTTGAACTAGTGTTTTTAAACCTGTCGACATTTTTAACCAATGTTATTATTAATGTATTTTTGCCGCTATACTGACAATTATGAACAGGATAGCCATTTCATTATAATTAATTGCGTATCAAATTTTGTAAAATATTTTTAATATATCAAATTTTATATCTTATATATATATTGTTGATGGAAAATGATTATTTTATACTGATATTGATGATATAAAGTGATATTTTTTATAAATGGGTCTTATTTTTTTTACAATTTTTTTAACCTTTTCTCCCATTTCAGTGTTTCTAAACAACCGTACAAGACGATTTATAACACGAGACATTCTAGTCTCTATCATTCCGACAAATATTCTACTAATATTAGCCTGGATTGTTATCAACATTTGAGAATAAGTAGCTAGATTATCCCGTCTTTTACATTATCGTGAAAGACATCTAAAGGAAGTTACTAGCCCTTATACAAGATGTCGAAGCCCATGAAATTAATTAAAGAATTGCCTTTTCAGAAAAATCTATTTGCATTGCCTCTTCAGTATCCAACACTCTTATTTTATTTTTTTTATTGTAATGTTTTTCTTTTCAAGGACCATTTTATCTATGTTTTTTATTAATCCTAATTCCTCGTCACTGTGAGAGAAAGAGAGAAATGTGGTTTAACGTCCACTCGACACAAACTAGGTCATTTCGGGACTAACATATGGTTTAATTTTATTTACATAATTCGCTTGCGCGTAGGGGTCTTTAGCAGTGGGAAAAAACGGAGGCCCCGGAGAAAACCCACGAGGTTGGACAGGCGACCCTACTTCTTGCCACGTACAACCGGGGATTCGAAACCACGCCAGTCGGCTCAATGACAGACTTTAAAATACAGCACGCTAACCAATCAGCCATCCACCCCCCCCCCCCCGTCACTTTAGCTAAAAGGTTACATTGCTTATGCGTAACCGGGATTTTTTTTTTTATGTTTATGGTATCCAGCAAATTTGGCCAAATGTTGACAACCGACCCAGACTCTCCCCGTACGTTGAAGACTAAGAGGTTCTTTGGGTGACCGCAACTAGAGAAATTATGACGCGTTATAGGGACCGATTTGTATCAGGCATCCTTTATTTATTCGTTTTTGTCATCGCGGGTAAAAGAAGGCGGGCATGTCGAATCCGAACGACTAAACGCTGTTCTTTCCGAGGCATTCAATCATAAACCACACGAAATGAAATGAAATGGGGTTTAACGTCCTGCTGTTTTGCTCCGAGCTGTGCTCATGAAGACGGGCATACGCCATACAGTGTGCTATGAGGGAAATTTTGCCCGGACAGCGGCACTGCGGCCTACTCTTATATCGAATTTCAACTGTCAAGAGATCCTTCACGTATACGCCAATTTGTACACGGGACCCCTGTTTTTCATCAGGCCCTCCATCCTGCATCACTGACAAGGGGGGCACAACACAGGAAAATCTGGACGACCTTTCTCGTTCAATGAAGGGATCGAACACCCTACCTCCAGGCTAGCGAGCCAGCGTCTTACCCACTTAGCCACTGTAACCCCCCTACACCACACGAACCCAAGACATCCATATTAGCATCCATACTGAGCAACCACACCCTCGAGGCTTTTAGGGTAATATCTTATTATACATATAGAGTAGCATCGTCGTTTGGATTTCAAATGTTACCAAAGAGAAAATGAAGAGAATATATTGGATGTTGTTATCAAACATGACTTAGCGCTCAGAAACTTTAACTCTGTCATTACAACAACTCCACAACATGAGTAATAGTCAGTCATTAGATCCGATAAACTAATTAGTTATTACTCGTCTCGTTGCTGTTTGTCTTCAGGTCGTACCTCTTAGAATAAAGCCCAAAGCTCCGCCAATTCAATTGCGACCCGAAACTTGGCATGATTTACGGACTAATGTGACATTTCCAAGATGGCGATGATGACGTCATGCTCGGTTCCTGGTCCAAGTACTTGAAATCGCCCACAAGGCTGGTCTAATCGTAGCCCCCTCCCCTTTAATCAGAGAGTTTTGAGAAGTATTAATTGCAATTCTTTACACGCTGCATTCTGTGGTGTGGGGTGGGTTGAGAGATTGGATGGCCGAATGGTTAGCACGTGCGTGCTGTATCCTATTGTCCGTTATTGAGTGAGCTGGCGTGGTATCGATTCCTCGGTTGTACTTGACAACGGGTAGGATCGCTTGTCCAGCCTCGTGGGTTTTCTCCGGGTCCTCCGGTTTCCTCCCACTGCTAAAGACCCCTACGCGCAAGTAAATTACTGAAATAAAAATGAACCATGTGTTAGTCCCGACGAACAATGGCTAGATTATGCTCCCCACGCACGCTTAATAGGGCCCTGAATTGTACACATTGTAAATATGAAAGTACAATGTACAAAGATACGCAAGAAATTACGAAACGGACGTTAAACCCCATTTCTCTCTTTCTCTCTCTCCATTCTAATTTGAAATCCCCACAAGGGCCAGACATGTGTATATTACAAAATAATTAGCTTTCTTCGTAATTTGATAAATAAATTCAAAGATACATGTAAATTGTTTTTGATATTGGGGTTTTCTGTTTATACTATTTGATGGTATTCTTTTGCCCAATAGTAAATATTAAAGTGCAAACATTATCAGAAACTACTTAGATTATACAATTTCCGATCTGTCCCTTGTGCATTAATACTTGAATTATAATATTTTAAAAAATGTACATGCAAATATGATATAATATTATACAAAGAAACGATAAACCCGAGATATTATAAATTAAAATTTAATTATTAAAATATAAACATTTAAAAATAATTACAATTTATCTCCGTGAATTAAATTTTAATAAATAAAACCATACTGTATACGCAAATATTATTTTGAAACGTAAAACAGCATAGCATTGAAAGTTTTATCAAATTCAAACCATAAAACATATGATCAAACATTTAGAATCAATTTACTTATGATATCCTTCACCCTAACCCAGCCACAATTATTGATATGTGTATCATTAAAGATACATTATTGGAGATTAAACAAAGAGCTTGCAGTTCTCACTATAATTGTTAAAAACTAGATAATCTAAAGGGAATTTGCTGAAAATTGATCCACTGTGAACCGAGAATTTTGCGATTAAATTTTAGGCCTAGCCTCGATCAGATCAACATCATTACTAAATTCGTAACCATAAAAAACATAGTCTCGATTATTCATTTCATGGTTAAATTATGAATGGAAGTCGAACAGCAAATCGGAACCTAATCCAATAAAAATCGCAGGCTAGCGATGACATCGAGAGTTGATTATGGTCTGGATAAGTTAATTAATGTCTAATTAATTATTTAGACAACATTTCAGGCCTAAATAAAGACCTGTAATAGGCAGATTTAGCTCTTGCATAATGGAGGTTAAATAAAAACATAATGTGTATGTCAAGGTATTTTATGCCACTGAAAAAAATCTTGATACCAGCTAGTTCCAAGACAGGAGCACTATAAGGCCCTAAACACCAGCTAAGTCTATTTGATAAGGCCAATTTCAAGTTTAGTCACACGTCATTAGATGTAAACAAGGCTAACGCTAATTCCAACCCTAACCCTGGACCTAGTCCTAACGTCGACTCTAACCCTAACCTACAATCTCACCAATAATCACGTGTCCTAACCGTATTTAAATCTCAACGACTATGGCGAAAATTGAGTTTGCCTTAAAGTTACAATTTCATATTTTCTAAGAAAGTCAAAACATAATTATTTCTATGACTTTTGCTCAATAGGTTGTCAACTCACTATTATACGATCATAGGTGTCATTCTCACACTTAAAACTCATTTACACCGGAAATAATAACACAATTACCTCCCAATTACCCCCCTTGTTTTCTATTCTCCACCATGGAGTAGTTTTCTGCAAACGTTTGAATTTGAAGATGAAAATGATATTTTTGCCAATTTCTCAACTGGCAATAGTGAATTATAGGATTAATAGGATTATTCTTTAACAAGGTAGGATTGTTTATAGATACCATCTATTTTAGGGCTTTATTTTAATAAATTTTAAAAATATAACGTAAAAATATGAAATTGCAACTTTAACAAATAGATCTGACCTACACACGTGTGTTCCTACGGTATGTGTGTGTAATGTGTATCCCACTTTTTTGAATCTTATATGTGCATTTACTATGCATGCATACTTAAAACAATATTGCGTTCATTCACGAAAGTTATTCTTTAATAATAAAAAAAAAATAAAATCAGTAAACCTTCGACAATAATGATATAAAACGTTATAAAATTTTTTACACTTTCTACAAATTCCTAGTATAAACCATTTCCTCTAGCCTAATATGCAGAATATTAGGACGCTAGATACAGGGCCATAAGTAGCTCAGAGCAACGAGGGGGGGGGGGGGGAGGGCGGGAAGTGTTCTCAGGGGTGCAGTAAAATTGACGGACAATGTATAATATCTATTTTTCATGGTCAAAAATTTTTTCACAGGGGGACGAAACTGGTTAGACCCGATTTCATTATATCTGTAAATTGAAATCATAAAGCAATATGGCGGCTTTGGGTTTCGGTATATTCAAATTTTCAACTTCATTTTCTCGTTTTTAAATGTTCATGGACGATGACGAATACGCAAGGATGGACAGAATCTATATTTTAGTTTCGTATTTTAAGTAACGAATACAACACAGCGGCCATGATTAAAGGTAGGGATATGAAATTCATATTAGAACTTGACGGATCTTTGGTATCAGCTGCCGGACAAGCATCCTCCCAACCAATATCATCGCCATTTTGTTCTTGAAGCCAATCTGTTAAAGGTTGGAAATATTCCATTAACGCAGTAGCGTTCATTTTATCTTCGCCTGAAACCATCACCATAGCTTCCGGCCATGGCAGCGATGAACCTAGCTTCAACATTTCACTGAAAACCAAAAAAAAAGAAGATTTTCGAAAGTGATAGCATTGCTCATTAAGGAGGAAGATACAAACATTTGAAAGAGGTTACAACGCCATATTAAAGTAATTTTTGGGGTAGAATTTGAAGATTCTGTGATTTAAAATTAGAAATCTATTAGTGGCAGGTAGCCGTCGAAGATTTGACTCATGAAGCTACTACTTTGGTTCTTATGCGAACTCTTCAGGCTTAAAGATACATTCCCGCGTACAAACTGGGTGATTTGATGATATATTTGGACTAAAAGCATATTCAAACTAATTAATTTATCATAATTTTGCTTCAAATCCCTCTCAAAACATTGTAATTTTCAAGGAATACCCTGCTATAAAAATCGACCAAAAGAGGTCATGTTTGTGCCACGTGACTTTCCGCCCTTGGTAGTATATAGCAACCCTTGCGAGGTCGGAGGAGAATTCATTGCATACACAAGGCGGTGTTGTCTTTAATCGCTGACTATTTATTACAAAATATCGAATCCTAATTAAATTCTCGGATTATCCACTGCGTGATTTTTATCTTTAGAAAGTGTTGTACGTCTAACTCTTCATAAAGTTTATCAACATGTACACAAAGCGCTCAATCATCGCGTGCAACCTTCGACGTCACGCGTGCAGACATTCCTGCACGATTAGGGGAACCCTTGCATTTTTGTCCTGTATACGCCCCATGAGTGTTTTTCAGGGAATCCAGTATTTTTCTAGTAGGATTGGATATTTCTACTTTCCATATATACCAAAATTGCCATACTTTTATTGGCAATAACCACGGATAAATACTTTTCAGGGAACCTATCTTTAAGTGAGAAAGGTTCTAGAGGAGACCGCTTTCTTACCAATGGAGGTGGAGTGTTTTTAGTGGAGAAACACAGAAAGATAAATATAATGTAAAATGGTAGGTTCATTATAAGATATATATAAGTTATCGACAACCTAGGGTAGTTTTGGCTTAACGTCCGCTTGCAAATAGACTGATACCACCGACAAAACTATTGTGTACAGCGTAATAGGGTTCAAATAGTACACCGACTTCTTAGGTTTCTTTTTGATGTCGGATACCTTGGGTTTAAATTGGGTGTCGTAGGTTTTAAATGATATCAGGTGGGGATCCAGGATTTTCAAAAGGGGGGGGGGGGCTGTCGGGCAATCAACCAAGTCACCATCCGGCTCGTTTCGGAGTAAATTACGATTTCTAACATAAACTGACCGTTATACTTTTCCGCGAAAATATATGGGGTAAAACATTGTTCGTCCCCCCCCCTCTGGATCCGCGCCTGGATATCTCATTTAACTGACTATGTATAATCTAAGGATCTGCCGCAGTAGAATCCCAATTGATTGTAAAGAAATATAAATATATAGTTTTATACCTGAGTAACTGTCCAGCTTGTTGATTCTGATAAATATCACACTGATGTAATGGACCAGTTTGACTAGCAGCATTACACAGGGCTTTATGGAACTGAAACTGTATCACAAAACTTACAAAATACCTGAAATTAAGAACAACAAAAACGGACTGACGTTTGAAGTAGCTAAGTCTCATCAAGGGCTATCGACATTGAAATCACGAATTATTTGTCAATTTAAATCAACTTTGATGTGATCTTACCGGGAAATGATGGGCTTCTGATATCCAATATTTAAGACAAAATAAACATTTTACCATTGGTACACGAATCGTGTACCATAATGCGTTTCAGCGCCATTTGTAACAAGAGACTCGAAGAATGAGGCTATACTTATTCCACAAGTCATGTCAAAAGGTAACTCCGTATTATTTTATGGTGAGCATGCGCAATAAATACTATCGGCGTAGACTGGAATAACCAGACGCTAGAGATTGCCATTCGATTGAGACTTCTGGCGTATTTCGCCGAACATAACTGATTAGAAATTACAGTAAAAACAGAAACGATTGAATGTAAATCAGTTTATGTACATTCATATTACATTATTATATGCGTTGCGACCCATTTGTGTCAATTTCTAGGTCCAAAATATTATCGATTTAGCTCCTTTAAGTCCACTGTATGGATACAGACCACAACTAATTCCCTTTATTTGGTTTGCCACGGATGTAGTGCCTTCTATCTATAACCGTTCTCATTATTTCCTCCATTTTCATGACCATTTTTGTTGACGTTTTTGGAGTAGAATTGAAGAAAGTTGTTTGAATTAAATTTTTGTGCCAAGCTTGGGGGACATTTATTAGGCGGAAGGATATCAGTGCTAGCCCTTGGTTACACTATGACATGAAACGATTAATACAAGTCAATGGTAATTTATTAACTGTTTATTATAAAGTTTACCTGCTATACGGTGTGCAATTGGGAACGTGTTATGTTTATCTGTTACATAGCGTGCTGTTAGGAAAGTGTTATGGTTAACCGTTAAAAATGTGTTACGTTTACGTATCACATGGTGTGTTGTTGGGAACGTGTCAAGTTTACCTGATATATGGTGTTGTTAGAAACGTGACAAGTTTGCTTATTATGTAATGTGTTGTTAGAAACGTGTCAAGTTTACTTGTTACATGGTGTGTTGTTAGAAACGTGTCAAGTTTACTTGTTACATGGTGTGTTGTTAGAAACGTGTCAAGTTTATTTGTTATGTGGTGTGTTGATAGAAACGTGTCAAGTTTACTTGTTAAATGGTGTGTTGTTGGGAACGTGTCAAGTTTACCTGCTCTGCTATACGGTGTGTTGTTGGGGACGTGTAAACATTACCTGATATAAGGTGTCACGTCAGAAATGTGCAAGTGAATATATGGCGCGCAAGAACGTGTCAAGTTTACCTTGTTAAATGTGCTGTTAGGAACGTGTCAAGTTTACCTGATATACGGTGTGTTGTTAGGAATGTGAAATTTAGATGCAGGATCGAAATCTTCTTCTGTTCTGGTAACTGGTGGTGATACACCCTGGTATTTACATCTAATTAAATAAAAAAAAGTTATGTGAAATTTAAATACGGAAGAAATGTTAAAAAAATGTGATAGTGTACTATTATACACGTGATTGTAGAGTAATTATACACTTGAATCTAGAGTAATTATATACTTGACTCTAGTGCAATTAGCTACTTGACTCTAGAGTAATTATATACTTGACTCTAGAGTAATTATATACTTGACCCTAGAATAATTATGTACGTGACTCTAGGGAAGTATATACTTGACCCTAGGGTGCTTAAATTCGTGACTCTAGAGTAATTATATACTTGATTCTAAGGTAATTATATACTTGACTCTAGAGTATTTATATGTTGAACCCTAGAGTAATTATATATTTGATTCTAGAATAATTATATACTTGACCCAACAGTAATTATATAATTGACTCTGGAGTATTTATTGATTTAATGAAAATGTCGAATAAAGAGAAACGCCACATTAATAAGGCTAATTCAGACGGACATACGCCATGCAGTATTCTAAGAGGGAAATGGTGCCTACAGTCTACTCTTATTTCGATTTCCAACTGTCAAGAGTTATTTTAGGTGCACGTCCATGTGTACACATGGCACCCCTTTTTGTCCCATCCGAGCGACTAGACAGTTTCTTACTAGGCTTATCTGTTATGCACCACTGACAAGGGGAACATACACTGGAAAATCCCTAGGCACTTTCTCGAACAACAACGGGGGTCGAACCCTGGTTAGCGAGCTTGCGCCTTACTCACAGATCCGCCATGGCCCCGGCATATCCGGCGAATATTTTATTATTCTTACCTAAGATCCCACCATTTTTCATTATATTTATCTTTCGGTGTTTCTCCACTAAAAACACTCCATCTCCATTGGTCTATTAAATAACCGAATGGTAAGAAGGCGATCTTTTGTAGAGCCATCCTCATTAAAAAGTTAATATCCGCCTCTGCAAAAGAGAAAAAAACAACTTTTTAAATTAAGACTAAAGTTGCAATCTGGTTAAAACACAGATCCTATTTCGTTTCGGTTTTTATAGTTCAAAATTTCGTTTTACTTGTCTTTACTACATTATGATCTGGAAGAGTTGTTATATAACCCACGTCCTGGTTGATGTGAGAGATTAGCCAATGAAACGGTCTTAGCATGCGGTGTACAGATCTGTGGGTATCCCACTAGAAACACCAACGCTGATTGGCTAATGAAATTGATTAAATACTTGTCTTACCATTATCGTTAGTAACATTTTGAATTAAATCAATCTTCTCGAGATGTTTCGGTGTCTGTACAGATAGAGATATGACGTCACCAACTGCTTCATGGAATCCTGTAAAATACAATCATACAATCAAAGAACCACCATGCACGAGCATGTTACCATATGATAAGAAAAATCGTGAATTACTAACTGATTGATTCAGGGGTAGCGACTACGAAGGGAGACAATCAACGTGTTTCTGTGGGGCGAAAACCGAGGTTCCGTGTTCCAATTGACATTAAACGTAAAATATTCCTTGACAGTTGTTTTTTTTTTTTTGGGGGGGGGGGAATCTATCTAGTGGTTTAACGCGTGCGTGTTGGAACCTAAGGCCCGTCAGTGAGTCATGTGGCGGGGTTTCGAATCCCTGTCTGTGACAAGGAGTAGGGTCGTCTGTTCAACTTTCGTGGGTTTTCTCCGGGTCCTCCGGTTTCCTCGCACTGCTAAATACCCTTGAAATAAAATTGAACTTTATGTTAGTACCGAAATGACCTAGTAATCTCAATTCCCTCTCAAATAAAAATCTAAATTTGTGCATTTTATCCGAATTTTAAATGTAACTGAATTGATGAAATTGAAGACTAAAGAATTTACCAGGATTAGCTCCCCCTCTGAAAACGACTGGTTGATCTTTATATTGTAGGTAATATTCAATATGGCCCATTTCATGATGCACTGTTATCAAGTCTTCCATATTAATCTCTGTACATTGTTTCACCCTTTTGAAAATAAAAGAGTTCAAAGAATAAATTTAAACATCAAAACTATTTTCCTCTAGTCGCGAGGGTAGAGAGGACTGGGACGGGTCTTCCTCTAGTCGTGAGGGTAGAGGGTTGGGACGAGTCTTCCTCTAGCCGCGAGGGTAGACAATTGGGGCGGGTCTTCATCTAGTCGCGAGGGTAGAGGATTGGGACGGGTCGTCATCTAGTCGCGAGGATACAGGATTGGGACGGGTCTTCCTCTAGTTACGAAGGTACAGGATTGGGAAGGATCTTCCTCTAGTCTCGAGGGTAGAGGGTTGGGACGGGTCTTTCTCTAGTCGCGAGGGTACAGGATTGGGACGGGTCTTCCTCTAGTCGCGAGAGTAGAGGATTGTGCGGATCTTCCTCTAGTCGCGAGGGTAGAGAGGACTGGGACGGGTCTTCCTCTAGCCGCGAGGGTACAGGATTGGGGCGGGTCTTCATCTAGTCGCGAGGGTAGAGGATTGGGACGGGTCTTTCTCTAGTCGCGAGGGTAGAGGGTTGGGACAGGTCTTCCACTAGTCGCGAGGGCAGACAATTGGTGTGGGCCTTCATCTAGTCGCTAGGGTAGAGGATTGGGAGACGTCTTCATCTAGTCGCGAGGGTAGAGGATTGGGACAGGTCTTCATCTAGTCGCGAGGGTAGAAGATTGGGACAGGTCTTCCTCTAGTCGCGAGGGTGCAGGATTGGGACGGGCCCCATAATTAGAAATAGCCAAGGGCCTCTCTTCATCCAAATCCGGCACTGCACAGGAACATAAAACCTGTGGAAATGTATCCTTCAAAAATCATAAATTCAGATTGTCTGTTATTTATATACCAGTGTATTCCCAGAACATTGAATCGCTTAGTTTAATTCCTACCTAAAGTCTTGTCTATTGTAGAAATCCCAGGCGGAAGCATGGCAGACAACATCTCGATCCTCCGGTTTACTTAACATAGAATAATTCCAGAAGCGGTCAGGCATTTTAATCATTCCAAGAGATTCGAAGAACTCATCAGAAACTTCAAACATTTTCACAGCTGTAAAATTCTAAAAAAAAAACAACTTTATATTATACATACATTATGCAAGAGCTAAATTTGTCTATTGCAGGTCTATCTTTAGGCCTGAAATGTTATATAAACTATTAATTGAACATTAATTAACTGATCCAGGCCATAATCAACTCTCGATGCCATCTTACGCGACGGATTGTCATTGGATTTGATTCTGATTCCGATCTCCTGCTCAATGCCCATTCTTTTTTTAGGCCTGAAATGTTATCTAAATTATTAATTAAACATTAATTAACTTATCCAGGCCAAAATCAACTCTCGATGGCATCAGATTTCTTCGATATTAAATAGATTAGAAAGGTTCGGCCATATTTTGATTTAATCTAAAAATGGCGAAGCGAGACTTTGCTTCGAACAACCAGTACGGTGGTTGAAATTATTGCAGGCGTCTTGTCAAACCTTCAAAGGCTAATATCTTCGCTCGCAATATAGTGAAATTTTCAAATTATTCATTTTACATTATCTATTTTCGAACTATCATAGCAAGAATGGGTAGCTCTTTATCTAAATCTTACATAATGTATTTTTAATTAACGTGGGAATTGTATATATTGGTAGGTTATTGCGATTACTTATAGGGTAAACGAATAACGACCTACAAACCTAAATAAACCTTGTAGTATCACATAACCTTGTAATAACGTCCTACATACGTACAATAAACCTTGTAGTAACATATTACCTTTTAATACCGACCTACATACGTACCATAAACCTTGTAGTATCAGATAACCTTGTAATAACGACCTACATACGTACAATAAACCTTGTAGTATCACATAACCTTGTAATAACGACCTTCGTACGTATAATAAACCTGGCACATTACCTGGCGTATCATTTCCGGTGTTACGTCAATACTATCTTTATTTTTATAGGGTTCCAAAACATCATAAAGATTATTCCATGTCTGTGCCCACATATTACCTACAACAAATAAACATTAATACACATCGTATCCAGTAAAATATATATCTTTTCTGGGATATATAAGTCTGATGGTAACACTTTCCAGGATTGTTATTAGAAATACAACCTAGAAAGCGGTTGCTATTGGATATTAAACCTGGAAAGCTTTTCAAGCTGCGTGTTAAACATGGAAAGCGGTTGTCATTGTATCCAAAACCTGGAAAAGGGGTTTTATTGCATAAAAAACCGAAAAATGGTTGTTATCGGATATAAACCTGAAAACGATTCGATTGGATATAAACCTGAAAACGGATGCGATTGGATATAAAACCTGAAAACGGTTGCTATTGGTTGTAAAACCTCAAAAACCGTTGCTATTGGATATGAAACTTGAAAAACGGTTGTTATTGAATATAAAACCTGGAAAGCTGTGGTTATTAGATATGAAACCCGAAAAACCGTTGCTATTGGATATGAAACCTGAGAAACGGTTGCTATTGGATATACAATCTGATAAACGGTTGCTACTGGAATTAAAACATGGAAAGCGATTAATATTGGATAGAAAAACCTGAAAAACGATTGTTATTTGTTACAAAACCTGCAAACCGGTTGCTATATACTACATATCGTACCCGTTAAACCTTACCTAGTAGATGTGCGGGTATTTGACCAGTAGAAGGGAATTTATCAGCACCATAAAATTCTTTAAGTTTATTTCTCGTATATGCATGTAGATTGACATATAATGGTTTCAACGTTTCAAATAAATCCACGAGATCTTCTTCGAAAGTGGGCGTGTCATACCAAGAACGCCAGTAAGCTCCCGTATCTTCATATCCTGGAATGGAACATAGTCAACGTAATACAATATATTTCATTGTTTTTCATCCATGTTTTTTATTGTATATAAACTTGCAATCTGATTAAAATACAGATCTATATTTCGTTTCGTTTTTTTTATACTTTCGATGGGCTACAGTACATGAAGATCTGACCAGTTGTAGTGATAGGTTGCGTCAGAGGTCATACGAGCGACTTTGACTCTATGACGTCAGAATTTGATTAACCAATCAGCATTAGTTTTCTAGTGGATACCCACAGTTCCGTGCAGCTCAAGGCAAAAGCTCGCCGTAACAGACCGTTTCATTGGCTAATCATCCACAACACGTCAATGATAACATCCCGTCCAGATCCTTGTGTAGTAAAGACAAGTAAAACAAAATTTTGAACTATAAAAAAACGGAACGAAATAGTATCCGTGTTTTAATCAGATTTCAACTTACCAAGCTGAGTACATATTAAAATGAAATATGTCGGGTGAAATTTCATTTTTTTTCGAAAAATGTAAATCACGGATCGTTACTCTAATATTTACTCACCATTAGCTACAATGGCCTCGTTACTAAGGGCAACGAATTCTTCATATAGATCCTTCATCTTCTTGCCGCTGACATCTCGCCATCCCTGCCACGCTGCTAATAGTCTATCATAATCCCGGGACTCAGCAAATAGTCGAGTTAGATCAGGATCTAGAGGAAGACATTCTGATTCTGATAAACATACTTGACCTGTGCTGTAAATAGTCCTCATCTCGGATTGGATCTGATTTAACTATAAATATACAGAAAAAATAAAGTAAATTACAAAATAGTGTAAAATTGCACTATTAAATTGGTAGTTTCGGTCACCCAGAACCTCCTAGTCTTCAACGTACGGAGGGTCTGGGACCGTTATCAATATTTGACGAAAAGTTCCACCGCCCATGCGTAAGAGTTGCGCCCCTTTCCACAATAAATCCCACAATTCGTGCATTAATATAATTGAATTACTACATAATATCTAATAAACAGTAGAGCACGAAGAGCCCAACAAAACCATAGAACAAAGTGGAATTTAATAAAACGTCAAAAAATATTGAACTTTTGAGTCCTATTTCTTATTAATGTTAAGGGGGCCACGGTGGGTCAGTGAGTAAGACGTTGGTTCGCTAGACTAAAGGTTCCGTACTCGATCCCGGTGTGGCGAGAAAGTCCATCTGGATTTTCCGACGTGGTTCCGATTTGTGAGTGGGGAAGGAACTGGGGGGGGGCAGACAAAGGCAGCCTATAGTCCTTCGGGTGGGACGAAAAGTATAGGTCCCGTCCACATATTGGCGTACATGTAAAAGAACTTTTGGCAGATGGAATTCGGCATGAGAGTAGGCTGTAGTGCCACTGTCCGGGCAAAATTTCCCTCTAAGCACACTGTATGGCGTTAGCCCGTCTTCATTAGCCAAGTCGGAGCAGAACAGTAGGACTTAAAACCCCATTTCATAACATTTTTAACATTTCTATTAATGTACATTAATGGGGGTCTTATTATGCCAATTAAAACGATACACCATCCATGATTTCTTCCGACATGAGAACAAATTTTAACCAATGTAACTTGAACTATAAAATTCACACCACTGATTGAATATCATAGTCTGCGATGTCACTTCTGTGGAAGCAGACGTTAAAGCACTAAGATACTAGTGCTACTCGAATATCATCGGTATTTTTCTATGCTATAGTGCTTACAGTTCAACAGGCGATGGGTCGAGGAAGGACATATATTTCGAATGGTCAATAATGGCTTGGTGATCGTGCCACGACGATCGCGAAAATATCCGAATGAACTATTATTACCAAAGACAATTAACTGATTTCAATCGTCAGGGATTGTAGATATTTTTTTTGTATTAGTCAACAAAAATTTCAACTCAATCAAGTGGAATAACTTTTGTAAAACAACAAATAAATAATAAAAACAAATGGATGCGTGATCCCGCAATTTGAAATTTCGTTAGGCTGTGGACATTTCTAATAGGAACCGTAATGTGCAGATAAAGAATGACCAACAGTCGTTTCATTTGCGAATATTTATACTAATAGCTAAACAATTCAACAGAAACCTTATGCAATATCGGTTGTACGTGACAAGGAGTAAGGTCGCCTGTCCAACCTCGTGGGTTTTCTCCGGGTCCTTCGATTTCCACCCACTGCTAAAGACCCCTACGCGCAAGCGAATTATGGATCTAAAATTAAAACCATATGTTAGTCCCGAAATGACCTAGTTTGTGTCGAGTGGACGTCCACCCCCCCTCTCTCTCTCTCTCTCTCTCTCTCTCTGTCTCTCATGCAATATTCTATTGCATTATATCAAAAGTCTTTTTTTACCCTTTCTAATTTTGCTGTATCTGGCATGGCTGCTGTGCCGATATCCACCAGTCGGGAGAATATGCGTCTTAGATTGGTATCGGTAAAATTCGACCAGTAAAATTGAGATGCATTATGGGCTACTTCCTGGTCGAACTCTGCTAACCTTAAACTTTCTGCTACCTGAAAAATATGCAAGGAACCATAATGTAATTTTTGTTGCATAGTAAATTGTACAATTATACAGGGGCGGATCAACACTTTTTATGAGAAAGTTTTCTCGGCCGTGTGCTTTATCCTTTATCGTCAGATTTGGGACAGGATGGGCACTCAAAGCACGAGATAATGATATAGACATTATGTGATATCACAATTAATGCTTTGCATCCATGAAATTGAATCACAATGTCGTATTCATTTATAATAAAAATTGACGGCAAACGAGGTGTTGTTTTTCTCTGTTTAAAAAGCTCAATGTGTATGTATATACGCCAAAATGACGATAGAGACCATGCGGGAGGGGAGTGGGGAGATATATTGCCTCAGGAACATGATCCCCCCCCCCTTGCAAAAATTCCTGGATCCGCCCCTGTTATAAAGTTTAAGTCAAGGTGTCGATGCCATTAATTCAAAACGATTTTTGGAAATTATCAGTAAAGGGGATGATTATTCGATTATAATTTTCTGATCCATTTCAGAATCTGCCAATCTGTCAGAGAAAATTAATAGTTAAATCATTACGTTTTATCACAAGTTTGGTTTGGATATTAACCTTTAAACAACCCGATGATTGGTGCCAGTAATTCAACAAGATTTATGGAAACAAGTAAAAAGAGTGAATATTCGATTATATATTTAAGGATCTATTTCTGAATCTGTCAATCTGTCATTCAATGATCTGTGTTGGTTTTTATTTTTTTAATTCGATTTTGTATTTGTTTTAACATATTAGTCAATATAATTGTTAAACATATATTATGCAAGAGCTAAATAATATCTGCCTATTGCAGGTCTTTCTTTAGGTCTGAAATGTTATGTAAACTAATAATTATTAACATGAAAAGACCTTAATCTTCTCTCGATGCCATCTTATGCGTCGGATTGTCATTGGATTTGATTATGATCTGCTGCTCAACGCCCATTGATTGGATATTCGTGACTATGTTTTTTTTTTATCGTACCTACTTTAGTAATGACGGCCGAGGCTAGACCGGAAAATCAATCGCTAATACTTTCGTACCGAGAGGAGCAAATTGACTGAAATTTCCAGCATAATCCCTCTACATTATCTAGTTTTAACTATTATAAATAGTGAGAACTGCCAGCTCTTTATCTGATCGTCCATAATGTATCTTTAATATATTAATGTTATTCATGTTTAAAGACGCTCTATAGACTTCTTGTGAATATCAGCCTAAAATGGTTCTATTCCGTTTAATATTCACATGGGTATTAATTGACAATTCAATAGATCAATCTGATTAACACACAGATCCTATTTCGTTTCGTTTTTATAGTTCAAAATTTCGTTTTAATTGTCTTTACTACACTAGGATCTGGAAGAATTGTTATCATTTACGTGTTCTGAATGATTTGTGGGAATAGTCAATGAAACGGTCTGTTACGGCAAGCTTTAGGCGTGTCTTGCACGGAACTGTGGGTAATCCACTAGTAACATGAATGCTGATTGGTTATTCAAAAGTCTGACGTCATGAAGTCAAAAGCTGCTCGTATGACGCCTATCGCTACAACTGGTCAGATCTTCATGTAGTGTAGGTCATCGAAAGTATAAAAAAACGAAACGAAATATAGATCTGTATTTTAATCAAATTGTTCAATAGATCTATGCTGCTCACATCTTTGTTAGCCGTGAACCAAATTGATGGCCCTGTTTTTAATTCCATCGAATCTAAGCCGGGAGATTATCTAGCGTTTGGTATTTTAATTTGGTTTTCTTAAATAAATGTTTAATAATTAATCAGATTAGCCTACATATGAACGTGGATTAATTTGTGAGAGGTTTTTGTATTTCAGCGAAGAAATGCAAGTCTAACATTATTTATTATAAACATAAGTGTTGTCTATTTTATAGTTTGGAAAGAACTCTCCTGTTGTTAAATCCGACTCAGTTTGTTGGATGAATTAAGTCGTGAGAAATTTTTAATTTCAGCGAAAAATGCAAGTCAAGAAGCCTTATTTTAGTATAGGCTAACCATTATTTATTATAAACATCAGTGTTATCTATTTCATAGTTTTGGAGAGAACTTGCCTGTTGTTAAATTCAACTCAGTTTGTTGGATGAATTAAGTCGTGGGAAATTTTATACGTCACGCATCGTTATTTTAATATAGGTTGACCATTGCTTATTATAAAGATACGTGTTATCTATTTTATAGTTTTGGCGAGAACCTGCCTGTTTAATGAAATATTGTTTAAACTTTACACACTGCATTTTGTCTTGTCCGCCGGTTTGTCTTGTTGGGTTTATTTTGTGAGTGCTGCGCAGTTCTCATTATAATAGTTAAAAACTAGATAATGTAAAGGGAATTTGCTGAAAATTTCATTTAAATTGATTCACTATGAACCCAGAACTAAGCGAATGAATTTTCCGCCTAGCCTCGTTCATTATTACTAAAGTCAGTACGATAAACATCATAGTCTCGATTATCGACTTAATCGTTAAATCGTGAAGGAAAGTTATGCAGTAAATCGGCTCATAATCCACTAAAGATCGCAGACTACCGATGTCATCGAGGGTTGATTATGGTGTGGATAAGTTAATTAATGTCTAATTAATAATTTAGACAACATTTCAGGTCTAAAGAAAGACCTGCAATAGACAGATTTAGCTCTTGTATAATATATGTTTCAGCACGAGAGCATTAAACAGCTTAAAATACAAAAACTATTCTGTACGTGATTATCTATAAAAGCAGGAGCCTGTTTCACGAAATTTCAACACAGATAAAATCCAAATTTTAATAATTTGATTGGATAATATTAGATTGATTTTAGTGCTTAGCCAATCAAAATTGAAGTATTACTAAAATTTGGATTTTATCTTTAGTTAAAATTTCGAGAAACAGGGCCCTGTAAAATATAAATATCTATAAAACCAGTAAAATATTAATATATCTTTAAGTCAGTTGAATGTAAACATCTATAACGTAGTTAATTTATATTACAAATTTAAGTCAATAAACTGACCTAATAAAAAGATATGAGAAAATGTCTCCTTTTGTATTGTCCTAAACAAACCATAGATATTAAACATACATCATGCAAGACGCAAATCTGCCTATTGCAGGTCTTTTTTTTTGGCATGAAATATTATATAAACTATTAATTAGACATTTATTAACAAAACAAGACCATAATCAACTCTCAATGCCATCTGATAATCAAGAATTAACTAAATTAGAACGGTTCGCCATTCCAAAAAATAATGCGAAAATAAGAAAACGAGGCCAAGTCTCGAATATACCAATATACGGTGATAACGTGGCTCAGTAATTTGAATGAAATTTTTAATATTTTCATTTTACATTATCTATTTTGAGCTATTATAGCAAGAATAGTCAGCTCTTTATCGAAATTTTACATAATGCATCTTTATAAGTATTGTAAAATTAATGAAAGAGAAATCGCTTTAATAATAAGTGCAGAATACTGCACCGAACAAAAATTTACACAAAAACATATACACGGACAGGACATCATACTCAGGAAAACACAAACATACAGACAATTCAAAAAAGTGAATGGATCCGGGGGCTAGCCGTAAGCGTCCACTGTGCTGTACAGTCCCGGGTCTGTAGTGACCAACTTCCGATATTATAGAAATCATAATGTGATAATGGCAGTTTAAAAACACAACCATCATCCCATATTGAGGTACAAAATACAAATCAGATTGCAAAATAGACGTCCACTAGCTTTATTCAAAAACGTACAAATGCATAGAGATGTGCCTCCGTACACTAGGTAGTATATGCTTATTCTTTCTATAACAACTGAAATCGTGGATCTCAAAAAATTCTCGAAGCGATGGTAGCGAACATTAACAATGCTACGGGAATATGAGTTATAGGGGATTTTCAGTTTATATATTACCAAGGCCTGCAAATATTGGATTTCCCGGTTGTACGTGACAAGGAGTAGAGTCGCCTGTCCCACCTCGTGAGTTTTCTCCGGGTTCTCCGGTTTCCTTCCACTGCTAAATGCCCCTACGCGCAAGCGAATTATTGAAATAAAATTGAACTATGCGTTAGTCCCGAAATGACCTAGTTTGTGTCGAGTGGACGTTAAACTCCAATCCACTCCCTCCCCTGTTATTTTGCTAGGCACGTATATGTTCCGTGTTTTTATTGATATTTTTGATGGTTTAATGAATTATTGAAATAAAATTGAACCTTATTTTAGTCTCGAAATGACCTAGTTTGTTAGAACGTTAAACCCAATTTCATTTCATTTCATTTTGTAAATTTATTGAATATAACATTGTTTAAATCAAATCATATGAAGATTAAGCTGCCTTTTACCACATTCCGTTAATTTTATTATAGCCTTCAACCTGAATAAATACTCCTTAAACCATTAAATATATCAATAAATACACAGAACATATTCGTGCCGAGAGAGAGAGAGAGAGAGAGAGAGGGGGGGGGGTCAACGTCCACTCGACACAAACTAGGTCATTTCGGGACCAACACATGGTTCTATTTTATTTCAATAATTCGCTTGCGCGTAGTGGTCTTTAGCAGTGGGTGGAAACCGGAGGACCCGGAGAAAACCCGCGAGGTTGGACAGGCGACCCTACTCCTTGTCACGTACACCCTGAGATTCGAAACCACGCCAGTTAACTCAATGATAGGCCTTATGATACAGCGCGCACGTGCTAATAACCATCCGGCCATCCACCACCCAGAAAATATACGTGCCTATAGGAAAATAACAAGCGGTAGTGGGTACTTTGCATGATGAAGATTTAGACTGGCTGGGTTTTTCCCTAAAGAGTATTTAAAATGGTTGTAAATCTTTAATTTGAGTAAACAATAAAATTGTCTATTTTAATGCATTTTATGCTGTTTTATCTTTAGGGGTGACAATTCCCTCTCTTATCTCCAAAAGGTATTTAATTTAATATGGTTCAACAATAAAATTGTCTTTTTTAATGTATTTTATGCTGTTTAATCTTTAGGGGTGACAATTCCCTTTCCTTATTTCCAAAAGGTATTTTAAATATGGTTCAACAATAAAATTGTCTTTTTAAAAGTATTTCAGGAGTTGTTTTGTTTCATTGGGTAACATCCATCTACGGATAAGAACAAAAATTACGTTGACTATTTTATACGTTGATTTCGTTTGTGGGGTGAAATTCGTTGGAAACTTTATATCCAAGCCAATGTTCAGATAATCGATTTTGTGTTTCATTGTCGATAAAAAAAGACATTAAACTGAAAAACAAAAACTAAACCAGTCGACTTCCGTTTGATCTTTATAAACATTTTTTTAAATCGAATTGACGAAGCAGATCATCAAGATTTCATTTTGACGTATTTTAAAGAGGTCGAGCTGCTTTCGGCCATTTTGGTTCATAAGCATGGAAATTCACATAAGCTAGATTTAATTAAAACTATAATTTACCATTGCTTCTTGATTTTCCTGGGTAATGTTTGTATTATATGTCCATGCTGCCGAAACATACCGGAAGTTAACTTCTTCTGATTTGGTATTGACATCTTCAAAAAATTGTCTCGCTGCTTCTTCATCAGTAATTAAATCACATAATATTGACGTCGTCGTTAACAACACGAACACCAGCACGCACTTCATCTCCATCTTGTTTGGTTACTGTTGGACCTGTGAACAGAAGGCTGTACAAGTCACAAGTTTTATCCAGAAGGAGTTGTAAATTCAGTAATAGATTTGGTGATGTCATTTTTACGATATGGGCGGATAGCACACGGCCAATTGATCCTAGTTTATGGCGGTACTTCTTATTAATAAACAAACAATGAGTAATAAACGATGATATGAATTACAATATGTCGACCACCGTTTCGTAATTTCTTGAGCATCTTTGTACTTATTTATTTGCGATGTGTACAATTCAGGGTCTGATTAAGTGTGCGTGGGTAGCATAATCTAGCCACTGTCTATCAAAACCGCACCTATGCAATTTGTATGTCTGTATGTCAGAGAGAGAGAGAAAAAAAAGGGGTTTAACGTCCACTCAACACAAACTATGTCATTTCGGGACTAACATATGGTTCAATTTTGATTTCAATAATTCGCTGGAGCGTAGGGGCATTACGCAGTGGGAGGAAACCAGAGAACTCGGAAAAAAAACACGAGGTTGGAGAGGCGACCCTATTCCTTGTCACGTGCAACCGGGGAATCGAAACCACGCCAGTTAATTCAATGACATGATACAACTCGCACGGGCTCATCATTCGGCGATCCAACCCCCCGTCAGTACGGTAGATAGATATATAGATGTATTTGGCACAAACATACACAAGCAAAATAAAAATATAAATTATATACTATCTATATAAAAGTCTTATTGATTTATGTTACAATGTTTTTCGAACTATTTTGGGGGTCCCTTACTGTAGCCCTATCAGCACTTCGGCTCGTGTACAATGGATTAATTAAATATGGATCTCTTTTAAAGAGATTATTACAATTCTGATCGATTGTAGATTCGCTAAAGGGGCTATCCCAAATGATATTCTTTGATATATTTGGGTCAACACTATAAAATAAAGAAATGGCCTATTTATCTTGTCAAAATATTTAACTTTTCAAAATGAAAATGAAATTTTCCCCGCGACACACAACCATTCTGTCTAGCCTAGCTTGCCGTTACATAGCACACCTAATCATGGACCACAGTTAACACCTAATCATGGACCACAGTTAACACCTAATCATGGAACACAGCTAACAGCTAATCATGGAACACAGCTAACAGCTAATCATGGACCACAGTTAACAGCTAATCATTGAAGACAGCTAAAAGCTAATCATGGAAAACAGCTAAAAGCTAATCATGGAACACAGCTAGCAGCTAATCATGGAACGCAGCTAACCATCCCACAACAGAGCAATTCGTGGAACAGCACAACTAATGGGAATGTAGCATAAATAATCATGACACAACACAGCTAAATCTGACATATCACATCTTCTCGTTTCATAGCACAACTGATCGTCGCATGTCACAGCTAATCATGACACAACACAGCTAATCATGACCCAACACAGCTAATCGTGTCGCAACACAGCTAAACCTGTCATACCACAGCTTCTCGTGACATAGCACAAGTGATCGTGCCCAGCCAGGAACATTCGTTGTTTTATTTTGGTTTAAGATTGTAAACTAAATGCCATAATAAATAGAAACGTCTCATTTGCCATGCCCGAAAGTCTGAGCTTGAAATATTGAGCTATTCGCTAATGAATATGATTTAACTGTACAGCGTAACCTAGGTGAAAGTGTTTCACCCTGTATTACTGACCTGTAGTAGTGGACAGATATCCAAACACACGGTCGTCAAACCAAATGAAATTCTGAGAAATGATCACATGCTTTCCGATATTTTCACTCGACTACGATAACAACGAATCTTTATAAGAATTATTCAGTTCGATTCACTTAAAGATACATTATGACTTAAGGTACGTACATTTAAAGATGTGTTATGACTAAAGTTATATACATTTAGGATGCATTGTGACTTAAGTTGTGTACATTTAAAGATGGGTTATGACTTACGTTATGTACATTTAAAGATGGGTTATGACTTACGTTATGTGCATTTAAAGATACATTACGATTTAAGTTATGCACATTTAAATATGCATTCGACTTAAGTTACGTACATTTTAAGATCCATTATTACTTAAGTTATGTACATTTAGATATACATTATGACTTAAGTTGTGTACATTTAAAGATGCATTATGACTAAAGTTATGTACATTTAAAGGTACCTTATGACTTACGTTATGTACATTTAAAGATGTGTTATGACGTAAGGTATATACATTTAAAGATGCATCATGACTTAAGTTATGTACATTTAAAGATGCATCATGACTAAAGTTATGTATATTTAAAGGTGCATTATGACTTACGTTATGTACATTAAAGATGAATTATGACTTACGTTATATACATTAAAGATGCATTATTACTTAAGTTATTTACATTTAAAGGGCATATGGCTCTATTGTTTGGAACCTAAAATTTTATTTTTAATTCTTATCATTTATGTTCTGTGAAATACGTGAACAGTCCAAAGTGGCGACACAGAGAGAGAGAGAGAGAGAAATGGGGTTTAACGTCCACTCAACACAAACTAGGTCATTTCGGGACTAACACATGGTTTAATTTTATTTCAATAATTCGCTTGCGCGTAGGGGTCTTTAGCAGTGGGAGGAAACCGGAGGACCCGGAGAAAACCCACGAGGTTGGACAGGCGACCCTACTCCTTGCCACGTACAACCGGGGATTCGAAACCACGCCAGCTGACTCAATGACAGACTTTTTATGGTACAGCGCGCACGTGCTAACCATTCAGCCACCCAACCCCCCAAGTGGCGGCAGTCTTTCACACCTGACACTATAGAGTACACGACTCGTGTACTGATTTTAAAATGTTCACTGAGTCTTAATACTGGATATTAGGATCCCATATTTTCACGGCAAAGTAACAACATCCATATTGGTTGAAAAAGATCAATATTGTATTCTAATTAATGTATTTATTTTCGAATATTATGGACAATATTGAGTTAAAATGAAATGAAATGGGGTTTAACGTCCTACTGTTCTGCTCCTATACTGGGCCAATGAAGACGGGCGTACGCCATACAGTGTGCTATGAGGGAAATTTTGCCCGGGCAACGGCATTATCGCCTACTCTTATATCGAATTCCAACTGCCAAGCGATATTTTACGTGCATTCCAATGTATACACGGGACCTCGGTTTTTCGTCTCATCCGAAGGACTAGACAGCTGTCCTTGCCAGGCCCTCCGTTCTGCACCACTGACAAGGGGAAACCACGTCGGAAAATCCAGATGAACTAGTTGAAAAAGATCAATATTGTATTCTAATTAATGTTTTTATTTTCGAATATTATGGACAATATTGAGTTAGGGCTTTAGATGCATTATGTAAAAGTTAAAGTTGCATATTACGAGACGTTGTTTATTATCGTAGCAATTGTACTTGACAAGCGAGACAATCTTGTCAAAACTTTACACACTCATAACTTCGGCCAGAATGAAGTAATATTGATTTTTTATTTTTGAACTATTACATCAAGAAAGACCAGCCCTTTATATAAATCTTTGTCTGAGCAAAATTTTCGATCATAACATACTGCTCGATGACGCATACCCTTCGTCATTATCGTAGGAAGTTAAACCCCTACGTAACGATAACGATAATGTACTGTACAACACACAGGGATATGACTTGTCACGATTATCGTTATCTGCATTGCATAAACTGGTACAAAAGAATTTGCCTATAAATTTAAGTTGACTCATTTCTAATTTAGGATAGTTATTCATACACCATATGTACAGGCACAGTCTTGTGATGTAAAACAAACCATTCAAGAATACATTAATAACAGATGAAGATGTAGGTCAACTATAGACCGAAATCAACCGTAAATGCCGGTCTTCTTGCATAGTATTAATAGAGGGTTTTCGCAATTAACGCTGAGGGGGGTGGGTGGCCGAATGGTTAGCACGTGCGCGCTATATCATAAGGCCTGTCATTTAGTCACCTGGCGTGGTTTCGAATCCCCGGCTGTACGTGACAAGGAGTAGGGTCGCCTGTCCAACCTCGTGGGTTTTCTCAGGGTCTTCCGGCTTCCCCCCACTGCTGAAGACCCCTACGCGCAATTGAATTATTGAAATAAAATTAAACCAATTTGTGTCGAGTGGATGCTAACCTCATTTCTCTCTCTCTCTCTCTCTCTCTCTCTCTCTCATTAACGCTGTAAAGCAGATTGATTTCGGAGATGGCGGGTTTTTTATTTACTTATTTACGTAATTTCAATATTGCGTCGCCTAACTTAATGCAATCTTTGACCTGTAAAAATTTAGTCCAGTGTGGATGAATTGTGACCATTTAAACATATCTAGGTCACTGGCTAGATCAGTGGTTCTCATCCTTTTTAGGCAACGGCAGACCTTGTAACACATGAAAAATTAGCGGCACACCTTGCAAAATATATATGAAGAATATCTGAATTTTTCAAATTTATGGCATGTCATAGACGGCATACACAAACTAGTCATAGACACATATATAGAATGACTCAAACTAAATAAGGAAAAAACACTGCTATGAACTTATCAGTAGACACCTGTGAATACTCAATTGGAATCAAGTGTCTTTTCGCGTTTTCTTAAGTGTGCTGTTCAAAATTTCGGGGCACTTAGGAAGATCTCGCGGCACACCTATGTGCCGCGGCACACTGGTTGAGAATCACTGGGCTAGATTATCCGGTCTTTTATGTTACCATGCACAAAATAAGAAGGAACATAGGCTTAAAAGAACACTCATAAGATTATTTTTTTTATTGTAAAATGTCTCTCGTAGAGGGTCTCTGTCTTTGTTGGATTTAAACCAAACAGTTCCATTGGCCAAACCCCTCCGTACGTTAAAGACTATGAGGTTCTGTGTTTCTGAGACAATAATAAGAAATAAATTGAAATGGGATTTAACGTCCTACTGTTCTCTTCCGACTGGGCTAATGAAGACGGGGGGCTAATGAAAACGTGCACTATATTTCTCTCATTCTGAGAATAACATACGCTTATTTCATTCCTTGGTTAATTGTGCCTTGTACTGTTAAAATATTTTTAGATTTATTTAACCAGGAAACCTCGATAAAATTTATTAAAAACGTTAATAACAAAAAATGATTAGTTTTAAAATCACGTCTTGATCACGCGATTTTGTCTCGTGTCTCTGTCTGGCTTTTTCCAAAGTCCGAAAAATCCTAAAAAGGGAACACTTACATCTTAAATCACGTATGTGCGTTATTTGAAATGAAATGGGGTTTAGCGTCCATCTTTCTGCATAAACCTATTTAAAGCAGACGTCATGCAGTGTGGTATGGCGGGGATTTTGACCGGATAGCGGCGTGTCCGCCCAATCTTGATAGAATTACAATTTTATTGTACACTGGCGGCCCATCCAAATGAGCAAACGCCTACTCTTATTTCGAATTTCAAAATGAAATGAAATGGGGTTTAACGTCGTACTGTTCTGCTCATAAACTGGGCTAATGAAGACGGACATACGCCATACAGTGTGCTATGAGGGAAATTTTTCCCGGGCAGCGGCACTACGGCCTACTCTTATATCGAATTCCAACTGCCAAGGGATCTTTTACGTGCTTTCCCATGTGTACACGGGACCTCGGTTTTTCGTCCCATCCGAACGACTAGACAGCTGTCCTTGTCAGGCCCTCCTTCCTGCATCACTGACAAGGGGAAACCACGCTGGAAAATCTTGCGTCTTTAATGTACATAACGTAAGTCATGATGCATCTTTAAATGTATACCTTACATCACAATGCATCTTTAATGTATATAACGTAAGTTATAATTCATCTTTAATGTACACGTACATAACGTAAGTCATAATATATCTTTAATGTATATAACGTAAGTCATAATTCATCTTTAATGTACATGTACATAACGTAAGTCATAATATATCTTTAATGTATATAACGTAAGTCATAATTCATCTTTAATGTAAATAACGTAAGTCATAATTCATCTTTAATGTAAATAACGAAAGTCATAATTCATCTTTAATGTAAATAACGTAAGTCATAATTCATCTTTAATGTAAATAACGTAAGTCACAATACATCTTTAAATGTATATACCTTACGTCATAATGTGTCTTTAATGTATATAACGTAAGTCATAATACATCTTTAAATGAATAGAACTGAATAATTCTTAGAAAGAACTTCTAAATCAATATGCATAATCATTGAAGGCTTAAAGACGACAAATAATTCTGACTTACATAAACTCATTTTCTAAAATTGAACTTTTGTTATTTATCATTAAAACATGTTAGGACCGGAAAATAGATTTTAGAGAAGTATTTTACCATGGCAGTAGATAGATAATATATGAACAGCTATTTCCATAATATGTACACAAAGTAAAATGGTCGTGTATTAGTCGCGGGGAACATTTCTAATGTAGGGTGATATCACAATCGTCAACAGAAAGCGGAATACACACTCATCCTCGCTAGACCATTCGATACATCAACATTAAATACCTAGGGCTTGAATAAAAGTGTTGGGGATTCTTGTTCTTGCGATGATGATGTATTAATTAATAAGCCATTGTATGGGAAACGGAAAATACATATGAGTATGCAAGGCTAATAACGGCGTAAAGTGCCGGTGTCAGATTTATAGTGACGTACTTAAGTAGACTCGAGTGATCATAACCCAGACATTTAAGCTCTCAATCCTTTGCTTAATTTATATCACAGCAAATCATCTGTACAATGGTAACATGGGGTTCATTCAGTGGTGTATTTATAAGGAGCGAAACTCTTGGTGGGGGGAGGCGGGAAGGGTGGGGGCAGTGAAACAGGGTTTAACATCATACTGTTCTGCACCGACTGGGAAAATGAAGACGGGCATACACCATACAGTGTTTTATGAGGAAAATTTCAATTGCCATGCAATCTTTTACGTATATTAGGGACCCCGGTTTTATAGTACCATCCAATCGACTAGACAGCTGTCCTTGTCAGGCTCTCTGTCCTGCACCAGCGACAAGGGTAAACCACGTCGGAAAATCCCTACTCGAAACAAAGTAACTTAAGTAAGTCATTTTGGTACTAACATATTTTTTGTCAATTTTGACAATATTTAATTTTTCCAGAGAGGAGAGAGAGAGAGAAAGAGAGGGTTACAGTAAGACATTTTGGGACTAAGATATTTTTTGTCAATTTTACTACATTAATTCGCATGCGAATGGGTCCTCAGCAGTTGGAGGTACCCGGGGGACCCGGAGAAAACCCACAGGGTTGGACAAGCGACCCTACTCCTTATCACATACAAGCGAGGATTTAACGACCCCCCACCCCCATCGGACAATTAAAGCTTTTTGTTATTACCACTTATTGTAATTAATGGCAGATATTTTTTTTCTGTCTATATTGATTACTTTTCTTTAATATGTGTCCTGGATTTTTTTTCTTTAGAATATTAACCCCAGTTCTTCCCAGTACATTTATATCATCTTAATTCCAAACCACTGACATTCCTTCGTTTCGTTTTATATCTAGCGACTAAATTTATACGCGCGGTGCGTTGTGTTTTGATAATCGAGACTTAACAGGAAACCTCAGACGAACGTTAACAAGTTTTTAAGGTAGAGTATTTTGCTGTATTTCCTAATTTAAAATCTGTATTTAAACTCAACGAAGTGTCGAGATTCAAGCCTGGTGTTAATGGAACAAGTAGTTTTATTTCATTTTCCAGATTAACCCCTTTTATATTAAACATAATCAAATTTTGAATGGACTCTGACATCTCTACGCAGTGGTGTAATAGTCAGGGAAGAGGTGTTTGTTTATTTTTACCATGACATTGAATGCTGAAATAAGTTTATGTTTCATGGAGTGTATTAATTCGTGTGTGTGGATTTAAGTGATGATCTTTTCCAGTCGATAAACGAGTATTTCAACTCTTGTGAAATATTACTTAGACTAGTTTCACTGGTTAAAGGAGGCTATAACCTTTACCGAAGACATAAATTTGGGTTCAGAAAAGTGACGGAAAACGAATAACTGATGTGCTTAATATTTGTAATTGCAGTACACCAAGTGTAGGTTTAAATTTGGTATAAACCAGATAGATATTTATTTATTTGTTTTAATTTTAGGTGTAAAATGGATAACGAGGATATTTTAGTGGATGACGGTAAGTAATTGTCTTCCAACCTCGTGGGTTTTCTCCGGGTCCTCCGGCTTCCTCCCACTGCAAGCGAATTACGGTATTGAAATAAAATTAAACCATATGTTAGTCCCGAAATGACCTAGTTTGTGTCGAGTGGACGTTAACCCCCATTTCTCTCCCCCTCTCTCCTTTCTTAGTAAATACTTGTAAATTAATATGGGAAGCTTGGCTGCGAAACCACTTTGTTTAGTTGACATGGCTAACAGTGTTATTATTGTAAGCCCTAATTTTGTGTTCCAGGCGACCCTGACCTTGAGACTAGAAGAAAACTTATAGAATTATATAAAGTTATAGTTAATCAACCAAATAATCAACTAGAGATTCTATATAAACACAGAGATATACTTGATATACCTATAACAGTTGGTAAGTCTATAACATAGAGATATATTTGATATACCTATAACAGTTGGTAAGTCTATAACATAGAGATATACTTGATATACCTATAACATAGAGATATATTTAATATACCTATAACAGTTGGTAAGTCCATATAACATAGAGATGTACGTACTTGATGAGCACAGTCGAATCTCATCTCGAATGCAACTTTTCCCCTCATCTCGTCAGCTGAGTAACAGTTTCGGAGTAACTGGGAGATCAATGAATTATCTCGACATATCTCGAAGACAACATTTCCCTCAAATTGGATTCAGACATCCGTTTGATAATATCTATCTATTATCACTTAAATACATCGAGTTGGGCGGGGCGGGGGGGGGGGGGGTATAGCATTGGATTGAAGGTTATGTTGATTTTAATAATTAGTCGAAATACCCCATTCAATGCTCGATTTAAATACACATTGTGTTCCAGGTAATTAAATAGATGGATCTTTCGTTACCATAATATACGTCATATCCGGAAAGGGCCAATTATTAGAGAATGAAAGGTCAATAGATAAATTCTCAAAGTTCGCATTCCGAAAACAAAAGCTTAGGCCGAACCTTTAGGTCTCCATATCATTGTCACATAACTCCAATTCTCCAAACCCTTAATTGGTTACCTGTCAGTGCCCGGATAGACTTTAAAGTACTCTGCCTAACATATCAGTGTGTCAGTGGAGAGGCTTCTGATTACCTCTGCAAATTAATTCAACGGTATATTCCAAAAAGACAGTTACGTTCAAACAATCTCAATCAGCTAGTGGTACCGAAGTGAAAACTTGCTACCTTTGGACAAAGAGCGTTTGCTGCTGCTGCCGCTGAAAGATGGAATGCACTCCCAGTTGAACTCCGTTTTGTAACTGCTTGATCAATCTTCAAATCTCGATTTAAAAGTCATCTTCTCAAAATTCACTACTGAATTAGACCCCCCCCCCCCAAAAAAAAAACACCCCAAAAAACAAAACAAAAATAAACTTAGAGGCAAAAGTCTTTTGTATAGTTGTATGCGCTATGAGCACGATTTGTGGATTTGGCCCGGGGATCACGTGGCTAAGTGGGTAAGACGCTAGCTCGCTAGCCTGGAGGTCGGGTGTTCGGGTGTTCGATCCCTGCATTGGCCGAGAAAGTTCATCCAGATTTTCCGGCGTGGTTCTCCCTTGTCAGTGATGCAGGACGGAGGGGCTGACAAGGAAAGCTGTCTAGTCGTTCGGATGGGACGAAAAACCGAGGTCCCGTGTACACATTGGCGTGCACGTAAAAGATCCCTTGGCAGTTGGAATTCGATATAAGAGTAGGCCGTAGTGCCGCTGTCCGGGCAAAATTTCCCTCATAGCACACTGTATGGCGTATGCCCGTCTTCATTAGCCCAGGTTAGAAGCAGAACAGTAGGACGTTAAACCCCATTTCATTTCATTTCTGGATTTGGCCGCTATATAAATGGACATATTATTATTATTATTATATAGGGTTAGATGAACAGTACCTTTAAATCTATTTTTTTTTTATTTATTTTATAACAGAATGTAAATTGGACTGTATGTGTATACCCCTATTTGAAATGCATCCGGGTCACAACCATGATATTGAGTCAGACCACTACAAAATGGTGTATTCCTGGATGGAAACAGGTCTCTGCAGATGTCATTCCAATGGTCAACATTTCGAAAAGAAGAAATGTCAGAAAAAATTAATTCATGTCGCTGCAGTGGTACGAAACATTCCAGTTGTAGAGTATTGGGTACATTGTGGTCTGTCTTTAGATGAAGAAACCACATGGTCTTATTACACGCCTTTATTTTTATCTGTGGTGATCAATAGTACAGAAGTTCTAAAATATGTGATACAAAATGGCGCCGATGTTAACGTCGACTCACGGTCTGAAAGTTACACGCCATTAATGGAAGCCATAGTAACGAGAAAGAAAGAAATCGTCCAGATATTGTTGGATAATCCCAAACTTGACGTTAACCTTGTCAATTGTCGAAACGAAACGGCTCTCACTATGGTTGTAAAAATGAGACAAAAAGAATTTCTTCCCTTGCTAATAGCTCGTGGAGCTGATCCTAACCACGTGGACTGTACAGGTTTCACCCCACTGATTCACGCTGTACTGGAAGAAGATGACGAATTGTTAAAACAGTTGCTAGAACATGGTGCTGATATTAATAAAACTGACAAAAGAACTAGAGGTAAATCACCGTTACACATTGCTGTCCTTAATGGTAAGTTCGTGATAACATTTCTTTATGTCTTAATAACAGAACACAATTTTTATGGGAAACAATCACTGGTTTTATTCTAATAGCACGACGTTTCGACAAGTATCCTCTTATCGTTATCAAGCACAATATGTCTTATTGTCATCAGGGGGTGTGGATGGCCGAATGGTTAACACGTACGCGCTGTACCATAAGGTGTGTCATTTAGTCAACTGGCGTGGTTTTGATTCCCCGGTTGTACGTGATAAGGTGTAGGGTCGCCTGTCCAACCTCATGGGTTTTCTCCGAGTACTCCTGCTTCCTTCCACTGCGAAAGACCCCTACGCGCATGCGAATTATTGAAATAAAATTGATCCATGTTAGTCCCGAAATGATCCAGTGAGAGAGAGGAGAGATGGGGTTTAACGTCCACTCGACACAAACTAGGTCATTGCGAGACTAACATTGGTTCAGTTTTATTTCAATAATTTGCTTGCGCCTAGGGGCCTGCGATATTTACTGGATTACGATCAGATTTGCTGCTCAACTTTCATTCATGATTTAATCATGAAATGGATAATCGAGACTATTTAAGCGTACCGACTTTAGTAATGATGATCGAGGCTAGGTCGAAAATTCAATCGCTAAAATCTCAGTTCAGAAAGGGTCAATTTGACTGAAATTTTCAGCAAATTCCCTTTACATTATCTAGTTTTTAACTATTATAGTGAGAACTGCCATCTCTTTATCTTATCTCCCTTAATGTATCTTAAAATGAAAAATACCCTTTTTTATCCACTGTCTACAAATGTGTGTACTTGAATGATCATGATTTAGAAGACATTGTGACCCATTGTGCTCATTTTTTTTTTTTTTTTTTATTTGCAGAATTTTCTTGTATTGTGAAAGTGTTGCTGGAAAACGGTGCTAACCCTAATGTAGTCGCATCGGATGGTTATAGTCCGTTACTAATAGCAACAGACAGCGGATCAGATGACATGCGCGATGTAATAAAGCTGCTGCTAGAAAATGATGCTGATGTCAACCATACTAATGAACAGGGCTATGCAGCCATACATAACGCTGCATGGAATGGATTTCTACCGTCTGTCAATTTACTGTTGGAACATGGCTCTCCTCACGACCTGCGTACTTTAGACAAGAACACGCCTCTGACCCTGGCAGCTCAAAGAAAACATCCTGACATCATCGATCGTCTGCTGCCATTAAACTGTGACCTAAATAACAAGGATAGAGATTTGGATACCGCTCTCCATTACGCCGCAATGAATGACGATTGTAGCACTATACGACGTTTATTACGTCACGGTGCTGATCCGGATGTGCAGAATCGCGTGTGTTCTACGCCATTGTGGAACGCCGTTCACGCGGGGTCAGTTGAAATAGTAAAAATTCTCTTGAAACATAATGTTACTTTAGAAGTTGCTTCTGTTGGACTTCATCCGTATGACAACGATGAGGTATTGTATTCAGAACCAAAAACTCCCATGCAAATCATCGGTGAGAAATGTTTGATTGAGTTGGGCAGGATGTTGATTGAATCGGGATACAATATGGCGAAGGAAAGCTGGCTGTTAGATTCAATGGTTATACCAAAAGGACTGGAATCCAACGAAGCCTTCCGACAGTATCTGATTGAAGCCTACAGTACACCCCAGTCTTTGTTACTCCAGAGTAGAAATTTCTTCAGAAAATTGTTCGGTAAACACGTGACCGTAAAAACTGAAGCCCTAAATATTCCTGTTCCTCTTAAATCCTATATAACGCTGAAACATTTGTGAGCGTATTGTGACGTAGGAATTTGTCTTTTTATACACCCACATGGAAATGTAGTCGTCTATTGCTGTCGCCCCCGTCGGTCCGTCTGTCGGTCGGCCGGTCCGTCCGTCGTCCAAAATTTCTTGTGAACACACTATAGACGACATTCATCATCTGATTGCTTTGAAATTATTTACATGAGTGAGATGACGAAGCCAATTTAATTTCAATAGTTTACGTTAATTTCTTCTGAATTATGACGTTCGATCCCTGCATTGGCCGAGAATGTTCATCCAGATATTCCGGCGTGGTTCTCCCTTGTCAGTGATGCAGGACGGAGGGGCTGACAAGGAAAACTGTCTAGTCGTTCGGATGGGACGAAAACCCGAGGTCCCGTTTAGACATTGGCGTGCACGTAAAAGATCCCTTGACAGTTGGAATTCGATATAAAAGTAGGCCGTAGTGCCGCTGTCCGGGCAAAATTTCCCTCATAGCACACTGTATGGCGTATGCCCGTCTTCATTAGCCCAGTTCGGAGCAAAACAGTTGAACGTCAAACCCCTTTTCATTTCATTTGGAATTATCGCCCTTGTTTAAATTTGATGCTCCTTGTGGATGCTCTAACTAACGACACAAGTTATCATTGGAGATGTATGAAATCTATATGCATCATTTAATTTAGTGAAGTGAAATGAAGGAACCTGTAGAATTTCAGCAATTGCTGTTAATTATGCCAAGGGTTATGGCCCTTGTGTCACTTTGTAAACGCTCTACCGACAAAAGTTATCTTCCGATCAGTATGGAATTTATATGCATCATTTAAATTAGTAAAACGAAGACGCCTATTGAATTTCAGCAATTTCCGTTAATTACTTCTAGAGCTGTTATAGTATACAGATATTACGTTCTGATCTTTAGTCATACATGTCTTATCAAATCTCACCGAAAAGTCCTTTTTCCTGCACAGTTCATTCACATTATAATTATTAAACATTTAATGGTTTTCAAGATCTCTTATTTAACTTTTATATAGTTAGAGTCGAAACATTAATTGCGGTTTCCTGCAATGTTATGTTCAGACCAAGTTTAGAAAGTTACTTAACACTGATGATAAGGGTTAGTCGCGTTAGGGTATATATGGGAGTGAGTCCCGTCTCTCTTTACTCACTCACACTGTATATACCAGCACCCGAAATAAACGTCAGTGTTCCTAAAAGTATTATTTTCCTCTAGGTAAGTCTAAACTACACTATGTCTATTTTGATATTTTAATTGTCTTATTGTAATATTTTAATTGTCTTATATTTTATGTATATTACTACATATTGAGGAGCGTACGCCCGTCTTCATTAGCCCAGGTTAGGAGCAGAAAAGTAGGACGTTAAACTTCATTTCATTTCATTTCATTTTACATATTGAGGAGCAAATAGAATAGCCTCTAATAATGAGCATACAATGTTGGTACATTTGAAAGACCACATAATTAGAGTATGCGTTAATAATGAAATCTTTGTTTCGTTAATAATATCCACGAGCGTATTGAGTGACATATAAACGATGTACAATGTTCAAAGTAGAACTCTACATCTCACCCAGCTCTAATGGATTATATAGATTACATCTAGAATTAATAATGTAAATATTCTGCAAATATTACACGCACGCATGCATGCTCCATATAAAGGACATCGCATGCACATGCGCTACGTATGGTATCCTTAACGTTCACTTTATTACATAAAGTACGTTAGCTTTATTACATAAAGCATAAAAATATATAATGATATATCAGTCGACATTTTATATTTCTTATTGTTATAGTAATATGTATTTTGTATTTTCTTTATTCATTATTATGCATTTAATATTATTATAAGACTCACTCACATTGTATATACCAGCACCCGAAATAAACGTCAGTCTTCCTAAAAATATTATTTTCCTCTAGTTTGTAGACGCTCCAGTACCACGGTCACCCCCTAACGACAAAGCCTCGTCGTATATTTAGTATTGCTGTGGGACAAGGGTTTCCAGTTGCACATTATCGGAAGACGCCCCTAGGCTATACAATCTTCCCGAGGCGCATTATTTCCAACGGATTATCAAGGTATCCTCGAGTAAGGACGATAGATAATCGGAGATAAGGAAAGAACCCGTTCCCAGAGCTATGACCCTTGTTTCACTTTCAATTAGTGAAACGAAGCAACACACTGAAAAGAAACAATTTATAATATTTAAGCATTCATTCTGTCAAAGACATCTCTAGAGAAGAGAGGGCATACTGAATTTCAGATCCAAGAGGAGAATACATACAAATATTCACAAATATACTGTACCAATGTTCATAACCTAGATCAAAATCAGTGTAACTTATATGAACAGGCCTATTTATAGGAAATATTTAAATTACAGGTTTTACATAATTATAACAACATAAATTAGCATTTACATGTTAATAAACATATACCGCTGCTAAATTAGTCTTGTGAATAACCAGTACAAAAGGAGGTCAAGTCGGGTTGCCACCGACCACGCCAAGCTAGAAAACTTGGAGAGAGAGAAATGAGGTTTAACGTCCACTCGCTTGGGCGTAGGGGTCTTTAGCAGTGGGAGGAGACCGGAGGACCCGGAGAAAAACCCACGAGGTTGGAAGAAAACTTGGACCAATGCATATTTCTCCAAAATTATTAATTGACACATATTAAAACCTTATCCAAGTGCTGTACTATGATTTTCGATACAATTTAATACCCCATTCCCCATTAAAATAGCAGATAAACATCTTTCTTTCATCCCTGCTCTACTCCCGCTAGAAATCTTTAAGTGTGGATACAATCGGTTCCATATAGAATTTGGAATGGGCGTTTAACGAAAAATAGTTAACGAACAATTTGTAACGAAATATTATAAAATTGAAAGCATTGAAAACTAACGTTCATCACAACCAATATGGTACATATGACGAACACGTATAATAGTCAGACATTTTATTTCTCTGCTATATTTTAAGTATGTTGCATTCCGGTGAATTTTTTTACGCCGATTGATACTATGTGCTTAGCAGTTCAAACCATCAAAAGTAATCCTATTTGCAGCCATGAAAGAAAAAGTAAGAGTGTATCTTTTTCTGTACTGTAGGAACAATATGAATATTGTACCCTTAAACAAGTCCACAAAAAATTTGTACTGAAATTTATTTTAAAATTAGTGCTTGGATTGAAATCGATCTAGGCTTAAAATGGGTGATAATATACATACGTGAAACCCAAAATTTTATCCATAAAATGGCTATTTGAACTACAGTCCTTTACAGCGACATCAGGTTGTAACCACTTCAGCATGTCACTTCTTGCTCCTAGGGGGTATCATACCGTAAGTTTGGTTAAAAACTTCCAACCCCTCATTGTAGCAATTACTAATTACCTCAGCATTGTTCCGCGGTATATGTTTTTCTTTCTTTATTACAAATGGCCCCCGAAACCACAGAATACACGACTGGTTGTTAAACGTCCATTGTGTCTTAAATATTGGATATTAGAATCCCATATTTTCACGGCAAGTTAACAACATCAATATTGATTGAAATGGACCAATATTGTTTTTTAATTCATGTTTTTATTTTCAAATATTGTGGGAAATATTGAATTAGAGGTTTAGCTCCTTTAAAAAAATGTATTATTCTTCCATATAAATGTTTTACAGTCTTCACATCTATCACATAGCTATATTCACTACAGAAGGTTGGATGACCGAATGGTTAGCGCGTGCACGCTGCATCATAAGGTCTGTCATTGAGTCAACTGGCGTTGTATCGAATGCCCGGTTGTACGTGACAAGAAGTAGAGTCGCATGTCTAACCTCGTGGGTTTTCTCTGGGTCCTTCGGTTTCCTGCCACTGCTAAAAAACCCTATGCGCAAGCGAATTATTGAAATAAGGTTCAACAATATGTTAGTCCAGAATAACCCGGTTTGTGGCGAGGGGACGTTGAACCCCATTTCTCTATTTATATATTCACTACAAGCTACAAGATGCAGTTTACAAAATATTGTATTCTTTACATATTATCATACAGCTTTACAGCTTAGCAATTATATTCCATTTTCTATTAAAATACGTAGTTTTCCATTTTTCCTAGATATGTATTTTCCAATTTTGTAATAAAAATGAATAAACTTCAATAAAGCTTGGAAATTAAGGGAGTTTTTGGTTATACTACTGCGGAAGATGTAATATTTGCTACATATGAAAATTGACAACTGGGGGTGTCTCCTGTTTACCAAGCATTATATCGTTATATGAAATAGACATCGAGCAACCCATACTTTTCAAGAGCATTATACATAACTCATCTTTCCAAATATTTTGAGATGCAGAGCATTTATAATAATTATAAGTGATCAAAAGTGTCATCTTTTTCCCCCACAGAATGAAAACAGTTTCTTAGTTTGATATTGTAAAGATATATTTTGTGGTAATAATTCTGTGTAGAAATTTGAGCTGAAACTCTAGCAACTCTGTGCCCAGTGTCACGTTTTTTGGTAGAGCACATATTTTTTTCCCACAGTCTTCTAGACAGGGTTAGGTTATGGATATTCATCCATTTCATTTCATTTTTGCATTCTTTTTCCTTTGGATCCTTCATCCTTACTGGCGTGGTTTCGATTCCCCGCTTGTACGTGACAAGGAGTAGGGGGGTCGCCTATCCAACCTCGTGGGTTTTCTCTGGTTTCCTCCCACTGCTAAAGACCGACCTCTACGCGCGCAAGCGAATGATTTAAATAAAATTGAACCATATGTTAGTCTCGAAATGACCTAGTTTGTGTTGAGTGGACGTTAAATCTCTCTCTCTCCCTCTCTCTCTCTCTCTCTCTCTCTCGGATCCTATCGATTAAGAAATAGTATATATGTTTACAACCCTTAGATTTGCTAAGTCAGTCTGGATAGGCCTGAGACGCTGGGTTTTCGCAAATGAGAATGTACATGGTTTGATATCATATTTTCCACTTTTTAGGGAGAGATCTCAGCAAATCGTTTTTTATTTTGTCAAATGTTTTGATCATGGGTTTATCATTTATGAGGTCATTGACATTTCGGACTTCCTTTTGAACCAATTTTTAATAAATCTATATCTGTTTGTTTTTATTGTACTAGATGGGTTGTAATAGAATATTTTCAATGTTCATCTTTGTATTATCATGTTCGAGAACATTCTCAACAAAACTCAACCCATTCTTTATAGCTGTCCTTCAAGAATGGATTGTCGATCACCTCAAGTATTTTGGAGTTTAAATTGGATCCCACTACAGAGAAATTTTAAATAATGGTCCATAAAAAGATTCCAGTTACTATTTTGGCTATGAGGGGGGTTGGATAGCCGAACGGTTAGCGTGTGCGCGTTGTATAATAAATTCTGTCATTGAGTCAGCTGGCGTGGTTTCGATTCCCCGGTTGTACGTGACAAGGGGTATGGTCGCCTATCCAACCTCGTGGATTTTCTCCGGGTCCTACGTGCAAGTATTGAAATAAAATTGAACCATATGTTAGTCCCGAAATGACCTAGTTTGTGTCAAGTGGACGTTAAACCCCATTTCTCTCTCTCTCTCTCTCTCTCTCTCTCTCTCTCTCTCTCTCTCTCTCTCCCCTTTTGGCTATATGAAATTCTGATCCAAGATGTTTTTATACTCTACTTATTGGATATATTAATATCAGTAAAATTTAAACCTCTGTCTTCAATTGATTTGGTAAATCTTGGACATTTAATTCGGTCGTTTCCATGATTCAATATAAATTTGAATTCTATATAATCAGGCTTTTTGAGATCAGAACATTCTGTGTTTGGGTAATCCAGAGAACACGTTAATTTTCGTTCAGTCCAAATGAAATGAAATGAAATGGGGTGTAACGTCCTACTGTTCTGCTCTGACTCGAGTAATAAAGACGGGCATATTCCATACAGTGTGCTATGAGGGACATTTTACCCGGGCAGCGGCATTATGGCCTACTCTTATATCGAATTCCAACTGCCAAATGATCTTTTACGTGCACGCAAACGTATACATGGGACCTCTGTTTTTTACGTCTCATCCGAATGATTAGACAGCTGTCTTTATAGCAAGAATGGTCAGCTCTTTATCTAAATCTTACATACTGTATCTTTACATTGCTTAACGAATATATATATTGACCTTTAATTCTATTATTTTTGGGAGCCACGTTGGCTAAGTGAGTAAGACGCTGGCTCACTAGCCTGGAGGTCGCTGGCTCGCTCCCGGTGTTGGTCGAGAAAGTTCATCGGGATTTTCTGATATGGCTTCCTCGTGTCAGTGAGGGTTTGACAAGGGCAGCTGTCTAGTTGGAATTCGATATAAGAGTAGTGCTGCTGTCCGTGCAAAATTCCACTCATAGCACACTGTATAGCGCATGCCCGTCTCCATTAGCCCAGTTCGGAGCAGAACAGTAGGAGGTTAAACCCCATTTCATTTCATTTCACCTCTAACATTTTACGTAATCATTGACCGAAGAACATCTACGCATAGTACGAATATAATATAATGGCGACAGTGGGTCGCCTTGTCTACAGTCTCTTCTCCAGCTTAAAGAGAGAGAGAGAGAGAGAGAGAGAGAGAGAGATGGGGTTTAACGTTCACTCGACACAAACTAGGTCATTTCGGGACTAACATATGGTTTAATTTTATTTCAATAATTCGCTTGCGCGTAGGGGTCTTTAGCAGTGGGAGGAAACCGGAGGACCCGGAGAAAAACCCACGAGGTTGGACAGGCGACCCTACTCCTTGTCACGTACAACCAGGGATTCGAAACCACGCCAGTTGACTCAATGACAGGCCGTATGATACAGCACGCACGTGCTAACCATTCGGTCATCCCCCCCCCCCAGCTTAAAGAATTTAGATGTATACCCACTTTGGATAATGCATGACAGCGCATTTTTATAAAATATTTTTTTCCAGTTTTGCATGGATGGCCCGAAATTAAATGTGCGGACAACCATTTCAAAAAATTTCTATGACACACTGTCAAACGCTTTTTCAATGTCTATTAAAAGTAACATGGCCTGGATATCTTGTCTCTTAATTTCAAACAGAATATCATGTGAACCTTGTACATTCTCCGACAACCTTTTTAAAAAAATTCTATGACACACTGTCAAACGCTTTTTCAATGTCTATTAAAAGTAACGTGCCCTGGATATCTTGTCTCTTAATTTCAAACAGAATATCATATGTGAACCTTGTGCATTCTCTGATGTATTTGCCATAAAGGAAACTTTTCTGGTCCACATGAATCAAGTTGGGTAGAACGGATTTAACACGATGGGCACTGCAGCACGAGTTCAACAACTTTATGGGCCAGTCTGATGCCCAGAACTACAACCATTCAGAACTAAAAGAATGTTTAGAAGATGGCCCCATTTAACTCCCTCCACGTTCAATGATAGAAACAAATAAATTAACACACCAATAATCAATTCAACTATGAAGGGTTTTAAAATTGCATGCAGTAACATTAAAAAGTAATTAAAGTATAAATTATGTTGTTTTTTTTTAAATTATGCAAAACAGGTCAAAATAGCTATGGTTTTATTCTTCCTTTAAATGAGTTAATATCATAACTCTACAATCCTACAGATTCAATACTAGTACAAATGTCCAATAAGAAAAACATTACTACCGTTGTTACGATATTTAAAAAAATCTCGATGGTCCATTTTGTAATTAAATGCCAATCGTTTTTAAATCGGTAGAAAATCAAAGGCACCCGATGACCTAGAGAGTTGATTATGATCTTGTCATGTTAATACACGTCTAATTCATAATTTATATAACATTTAAAGCCTAAAGATAGATCTGCAATAATTTAGAGAACGTGATATCTAGTCCAAATTGAGATTAGTTTTAGCCCTTACACTGTTTATTCAATAAATATTTACATTAGATAGCGACACGAGAGAGAGAGAGAGAGAGAGATAGAGAGAGAGAGAGAGAGGGGGGGGGGGTAACGTCCACTCGACACAAACTATTTCATTTCGACACCAAAATATGGTTCAATTTTATTTCAATAATTCGATTGCGCGTAGGTGTCTAGCAATGGGGGGACATCCGCGGACCCGGAGAAAACCCACGAGGTTAGACAGGCGACCCTACTGCTTGTCACGTACAACCGTACAACACGCCAGTTGACTCAATGACAGACCTTATAATGCAACGCGCACGCGCTAAAAATTCGGCCATTCACCCCACCCCCTCCGCTTTGATCAATTAAAGCTCTTTGTTATTGCTACTTATAGATAGCAGATATATATATTTTTTTCGTTTATAATGATTACTTTTCTTTAATACGTTTCCTTTATTTTTTTTCTTTAGAATATTAACCCCAGTTCTTCCCAGTACATTTATATCATCTTAATTTCAAACCACTGACATTCCTTCGTTTCGTTTTATATCTAGCGACTAAATTTATACGTGCGGTGCATTGTGTTTTGATAACCGAGACTTAACAGAAAACCCCTGGCGAGTGTAAACAAGCTTTTGAGGTAAGGTATTTTGCTGTATTTACAAATTTAAAATCTGTATTTAAACTCAACGAAGAGTTGAGGTTCAAGCCTGTTGTTACGGGAGCAAGTAGTTTTATTTCATATTCTCGAATATGCTCTAGATATTAAACAGAATCAGAGGCATTTTTTTTAAAATTTTGATTTCTACTCGGTGGTGAAATAGTCAAGGAATCGAAGGAATATGCAACAACGAAGAGGTGTTTGTTTATTTTAACCATAACATTGAATGCTGAAACAAGTTTATGTTTTATGGAGTGTATTAATTCACGTGTGTGGATTTAAATGCTGAACCTTTCCAGTCGATAAACGAGTGTTACAGCTCTGTGAAATATTACGCAGACCATAACTCGCTAGTTGATCGAGGTTATAATAACCTTTAGCGAAGACAAATTTGGGTTCAGAAAAGTGGCGGAAACGAATAACTGATGTGCTTAATATTTTTTTAATTGCATTACATTTGTTTAAATGTGGTATAAATTAGATAGATATTTATTGTCCACCAGGGGACTATTAAAATAGGGTACGTCCGTCTGTCGGCCCGCCCGTCCGTCTATCTGTCTGTCCGTCACACGTTTTGGGACACAACAACTCTCCTGCTAATTGAGCTAGAATGTTCAAATTTGGTGTAGGTGTTCATTAGGTCGATGCCTTGATGGAGTCCGAAGATGAGCATTTTCTGCTTAGGGTAAGCAGAGATAAGCATTTTGATTGGTTGATGCTTTGGGACACGATAACTTTAGTTCTAATTAAGTGAGAGTGGTGAAACTTGGTGTATAGTTTCATTACATCAATACCTTGACTAAGTTCGATAATGAACATTTTCATCTCAGGGTAAGCATAAGCGATAATCAATTTAATTGGTCGAGACTTTGGGACACAACAACTCTCTTTCTAATTGAGCTAAAATGTTCAAACTTGGTGTAGGTGTTTATTAGGTCGATGCCTTGATGGAGTTCGAAGATGAACATTTTCTGCTTAGGGTAAGCAGATATAAGCAATTTGATTAGTTGATGCTTTGGAACACGATAGCTGTAGTTCTAATTAAATGAGAGTGATGAAACGTTGTGTGTAGTTTCATTGCATCAATACCTTGCCTAAGTTCGATAATGAACATTTTCTGCTCAGAGTGAGCAGAGCGATAAGCAATTTGGTTGGTCGAGACTTTGGGACACAATAACTCCCCTTCTAATTGAGGCGGAATGTTCAAACTTGGTGTAGGCGTTCATTAGGTGAACGCCTTGGCAGAGATCGACAAAGAACATTGTCTGCTTACGGTAAGCAGAGATAAGCAATTTGGTTGTTTGATGCTTTTGGGCACAATAACTTTGGTTATAATTAAGCTATGAAACTCCGAGTATAGATTCATTATATCATTACCTTGACTAAGTTTGATGGGAATTTTCTGGTTAGGCTAAGGAGCTATAAGCAATTTGATTGGTCAAGACTTTTGCACATAACAAATCTGCTTTTAATTGAGGTAGAATGTTTAAACTTGATGTATATGTTCATTAGGTGAATTAACATTTCCCGCTGAAGCTGGGCAGAGCCAAGCAATTTTTTTGACTTTGATTCTATCTGATAGAGAGTGATGAAACATAGTGTATAGTTTCATTGCTTGATACTTTTGAAAAGGATAAACCTGCAATTAAAAAATGTGTCATCTATTTATTTTGGGATTTCGGCGGAGGACATCAGCCTCACTGTTGGCTTTTTTTTTTAAATTTTAGGTGTAAAATGGATAACGAAGATATTATAATGGATGATGGTAAGTACTTATTTTCCTTTCTTAGTAAATACTAGTAAATTAATAAGGAGAACGTAGGGCGTTAAACCCCATTTCATTTCATTTATATATTTTGTTTGTAAATGAAATGAAATGAAATGGGGTTTAACGTCCTACTGTTCTGCTCCTATACTGGGCTAATGAAGATGGGCATACGCCATACAGTGTGCTATGAGGGAAATTTTGCCCGGACAGCGGCACTATCGCCTACTCTTATAGTTACATACAAACAATACATACATACATACATGTAAACACTATAATTACATACAAACAATATACACATGGCAAGTAAATACAAACAAAATACTCGCTAGCCTAGAGGTCGGGTGTTCGATGTCTGCATTGGGCGCCGAGAAAGTTCATCCCGATTTTTCGACGTGGTTTTCCCTTGCCAGTGGTGCAGAACGGAGGGCCTGACAAGGACAGCTGTCTAGTCCTTCGGATGAGACGAAAAACCGAGTTCCCGTGTACAAATGGACGTGCACGTAAAATATCCCTTGACAGTTGGAATTCGATATAAGAGTAGGCCGTAGTGCCGCTGTCCGGGCAAAATTTCCCTCATAGCACACCGTATGGCGTATGCCCGTCTTCATTAGCCCAGTTCGGAGCAAAATAGTAGGACGATAAACCCCATTTCATCTCATAGATAATCAGTTCGAGTGCTCAATAATTTTGAAGAAGATAAATATGCAATTACATAATTGGTGTAATCTATTTATTTTCGGACTTCAGTCTCACTGTTGGGAGTGTTGTTGTAATTTTGAGACATCAATATTAAAATTCTGGTTATCTATTGCCATAACCCCGGTCTGCCGCGGTTTCTTCATTGTGTTTGATATTCCTGAGAAGGAAATCCTATTTAATTTTAATCAACGATTTCCAATAATTAAATGCAGATATAATATAATTGATGACTATGAAAAAAATTTAATGACGCCAAATCGTTTATGTTATCATCCGATTGCGACAACCTTTATTGACTGAACGGACGAATTAACTGCTGTAACAAGACAAGAATCTCATTACAGTACAGATCATATTTGATGTAAACAGTTTTTATTTCGAAATATTGTACAATGTAGGGGGGTTGGATGGCTGAATGGTTAGCGTGCGCGCGCTGTATCATAAAGTCTGTCATTGAGTCGACTGGCGTGGTTTCGAATCCCCGGTTGTACGTGACAAGGAGTAGGGTCGCCTGTCCAACCTCGTGGGTTTTCTCCGGGTCCTCCGGTTTCCTCCCACTGCTAAAGACCCCTGCGCGCAAGCGAATTGTTGAAATAAAGTTAAACCATATGTTAGTCCCGAAATGACCTAGTTTGTGTCGAGTGGACGTTAAACCCCATTTCTCTCTCTCTCTCTCTTGTACAATGTAAAGTCATAAAGAATAGGATACGGAAATAAGCCAAGCTGGCTTATATTAATTTGATTAGAATACAGATCGTATTTCATTTCGTTTTTTATATAGTTTAAAATTTCGTTTGACTTGTCTTGACTACACTAGGCTCTGAAAGAGTTGTTATATAATCCGCGTTCTGGTTGAAGTGAAGGATTAGCCATAATATGGTCTGTTGCAGCGAGTTTTTGGTGTGCGATGCACGGAACTGTGGGTATCCTAATTGAAACATCAACTCTGATTGGTTAATGAAATGTCTGACGTCATAGGTCTAAAGCCGCTCCTGCGGCTCCTGACGCGACCTCCCACTACAACTGGTAAGATCTTCATGATGTGTAGGCCATTGAAAGTATAAAAAACGAAACGAAATACAGATGTGTATTTTAATCTGATTGACTTATATTAATTTGCTTCCATATTTTCAACTATGTCAGACAGTTTTGATCAGTACTGCGATACCGCTTTGCGTTTTATTGTATGCTCTAATTTCATGTTTCAGGCGATCCTGACCTTGAGACTAGAAGAAAGCTGATAGAATTATATAAAGTTATAGTTAATCAACCAGATAATCAACTAGAGATTTTAAATAAACACAGAGATATACTTGATATACCTATAACAGTTGGTAAGTCTATAACATAGAGATATACTTGATATACCTATAACAGTTGGTAAGTCTATAACATAGAGATATACTTGATATACCTATAACATAGAGATATATTTGATAAACCTATAACATAGAGATATACTTGATAAACCTATAACATAGAGATATACTTGATATACCTATAACATAGAGATATACTTGATATACCTATAACAATTGGTAAGTCTATATAACATAGAGATATACTTGATAAACCTATAACATAGAAATATACTTGATATACCTATAACATAGAGATATACTTGATATACCTATAACAGTTGGTAAGTCCATATAACATAGAGATATACTTGATATACCTATAACATAGAGATATACTTGATATACCTATAACATAGAGATATACTTGATAAACCTATAACATAGAGATATACTTGATAAACCTATAACATAGAGATATACTTGATATACCTAGAACAGTTGGTAAGTCTATATAACATAGAGATATACTTGATAAACCTATAACATAGAGATATACTTGATATACCTATAACATAGAGATATACTTGATATACCTATAACAGTTGGTAAGTCCATATAACATAGAGATATACTTGATATACCTATAACATAGAGATATACTTGATATACCTATAACATAGAGATATACTTGATAAACCCATAACATAGAGATATACTTGATAAACCTATAACATAGAGATATACTTGATATACCTAGAACAGTTGGTAAGTCTATATAACATAGAGATATACTTGATATACCTATAACAGTTGGTAAGTCTATATAACATAGAGATATACTTGATATACCTAGAACAGTTGGTAAGTCTATATAACATAGAGATATACTTGATATACCTAGAACAGTTGGTAAGTCTATATAACATAGAGATATACTTGATATACCTATAACAGTTGGTAAGTCTATATAACACAGAGATATACTTGATATACCTATAACAGTTGGTAAGTCTATAATATAGAGATATACTTGATATACCTATAACATAGAGATATACTTGTCTGTCATAATGTCTGTCATTGAGCCAAGTAGCGTGGTTTTGTTCCCCCACATGTACGTGACAAGGAGTTAAGTGTTGCCTGTCAAACCTCTTGGGTAAGCACAGTCAAAGGGATATCGGGCGGGGGGAGGGAGGCGAATCGTTAACGCGTGCGCGTTGGGGTCATAACGTTTGTCTTTGAGTCAAATGGCGTGGTGTTGATTCCCCACTTGTACGTGATAAGGACTTTGGTCGCCTGTCCAACCTCATGAGATTTCTTTGGGTCTTCCGGTTTCCCCCCACTGCTAAAGACCCTTACGCGCAAGCATAAGATTGAATTCAAGGGTATTTTATTTTAATAATTAGTCGGAATACGCCATGCAATGCTCGATTTGAATACACATGGTGGTCCATGTAATTAAATAGATGGATCTGTCGTTACCGTAATATACGTCATATCTGGAAAGTGGCAATTATTAGAGACTGGAAGGGCAATAGATGAATTTTCAAAGTTTGCTTTGAACCGTTTTCATTCCCAAATATTTCAAAAACAAAACCTTAAAGATACATTATGGGAGATTAGATAAAGAGCTGACAGTTCTCATTATATTAGTTAAAAACAAGATGATGTAAAAGTAATTTGCTGAAAATTTCAATCAAATTGATTCACTCTGAACCGAGAATTTAGCGATTGAATTTTGGGCCTAGCCTCGATCATCATTACTGAGTCGATAAGATAAAAAACATAGTCTCAATTATCCATTTCTTGATTTAATTATCAATGAGCGTTTTATCCAGTAAATATCGCAGGCTAGCGATGACATCGAGAGTTGATTATGGTCTGGATAAGTTGATTATTGTATAATTAATAATTTAGATAACATTTCAGGCCTAAAGAAAGACCTGCAATTGACAGATTTAGCTCTTGGATAATGTATGTTTACGGCCGATCCTTTTGGTGTTGGCTGAACAGTTCCTTTAGATTTATATTATTTTTAATTTATTTTATAACAGAATGTAGATGGCGATGCATGTGTATAACCCTATTTGAAATGCATCCGGGTCACAACCATGATATGGAGACAGACCGCTACAAAATGGTATATTCCTGGATGGAAACAGGTCTCTGCAGATGTCATTCCAATGGTCAACATTTCGAAAAGAAGAAATGCCAGAAAAAATTAATTCATGTCGCTGCAGTGGTACGAAACATCCCAGTTGTAGAGTATTGGGTACATTGCGGTCTATCTTTAAATGAAGCAACAACGGTGTCTTGTTACACGCCTTTATTCTTGTCTGTGGTGATTAACGGTACAGAACTTCTAAAATATATGATACAAAATGGCGCCGATATTAACGTTACCTCGCGGTATGAACGTAACACGCCATTGATGGAAGCCATTTTAACGAGAAAGAAAGAAATCGTCCAGATATTGTTGGATAATCCCAAACTTGACGTCAACGCTATCAACTTTCGAAAAGAAACGGTCCTAACCATTGCTGTAAGGGTGAGACGAAAAGAATTGCTTCCCTTGCTAATAGCACGAGGAGCTGATCCTAATCACGTGGACTGCACCGGATTCACTCCACTGATTCACGCAGTGCTGGAAGAAGATGATAAATTATTAAGGCAGTTGCTAGAACTTGGTGCTGATATTAATAAAACTGACAATAGAGGGGAAACACCGCTACATTTTGCTGTACATAATGGTAAGTTCAAAACAGCATGACTGTATGTTCTATTATTAGCATCTTGACCTTTCTCTAGGGTAACTAGCTACCATTGGTAACGGTAGAGGTCTTACTAGAGTCCATAACAACATGTCTTTTTCTACCATTGGTAACGGTAGAGGTCTTACTAGAGTCCATGACAACATGTCTTTTTCTACCATTGGTAACGGTAGAGGTCTTACTAGAGTCCATGACAACATGTCTTTTTCTACCATTGGTAACGGTAGAGGTCTTACTAGAGTCCATCACAACATGTCTTTTTCTACCATTGGTAACGGTAGAGGTCTTACTAGAGTCCATAACAACATGTCTTTTTCTACCATTGGTAACGGTAGAGGTCTTACTAGAGTCCATGACAACATGTCTTTTTCTACCATTGGTAACGGTAGAGGTCTTACTAGAGTCCATGACAACATGTCTTTTTCTACCATTGGTAACGGTAGAGGTCTTACTAGAGTCCATGACAACATGTCTTTTTCTACCATTGGTAACGGTAGAGGTCTTACTAGAGTCCATAACAACATGTCTTTTTCTACCATTGGTAACGTTAGAGGTCTTACTAGAGTCCATAACAACATGTCTTTTTCTACCATTCGTAACGTTAGAGGTCTTACTAGAGTCCATAACAACATGTCTTTTTCTACCATTGGTAACGGTAGAGGTCTTACTAGAGTCCATAACAACATGTCTTTTTCTACCATTGGTAACGGTAGAGGTCTTACTAGAGTCCATAACAACATGTCTTTTTCTACCATTGGTAACGTTAGAGGTCTTATTAGAGTCCATGATAACATGTCTTTATCTACCATTGGTAGGGGGAGATGGCCGAATGGTTAGCACGTGCGCGCTCTATCATAAGGACTGTCATTGAGTCAACTGGCGTGGTTTCGATTTCCCGGTTGTACGTGACAACCTCGTGGGTTTTCTCCGGGCCCTCCGATTCGCTCCCACTGCTAAAGACCCCTACGCGCAAGCGAATGTGGGTCACCTGGCGTGGTTTCGATTTTCCGATTGTACGTGACAAGGAGTAAGTCGCCTGTCTAAAGTTAATATCCGATTGACTTTAAATTTATACACAGTGTTTGAGGTCATAAGACGAAGAATCCTATTGATTTCCAATTATTACTACCAAAGTTATGGCCTTTGATCACTTTAAAGAATCTTGTGACGTTAAAGTTATCATCCGTCTTGAGACGAAGAATTATATTGATTTTCAATGAATTTTTATGACTTGAACAGCTAAATCCATGATGTTAAAAGTTTCGTATACTAAACGTTAGCATGGGGCAGAACTTTATAAAATCTAAACAAATTTTAATGGTTTTCTGATAATTACTGAATAAGTTGTTACTCTTAATCTGATTTTAATGTATTATAAATGTTTCATTACCGACAAAAGTAAAAATATGCGACAACTCTTGTTGACTGCCCGGACGATTTAGCTGCTGTGGGCGTATGTTTCGGTGCCTGGCAACCTATCTTTATTTTATATGTTTATTTTTCTATTTGCAGAAGTGTCCCATATTGTGTCAATTTTGCTGGAAAACGGTGCTAACCCTAACGTAGCCGCTGGGGATAGTTATACTCCGTTACTAATAGCAACATACAGCGGATCAGACGACATGCGCGATGTATTAGAGCTGCTGCTAGAGAATGGTGCTGATGTCAACCTTGCTAATGAACAGGGTTATGCAGCCATACATATCGCTGCATGGAACGGATATCTACCGTCTGTCAATTTACTGTTGGAACATGGTTCCCCTCCCGATGTGCGTACGATAGACAAGAACACGCCCCTGACCCTGGCAGCTCATGGAAAACACCCTGACATCATCGATCGTCTGCTGCCGTTAAACTGTGACCTAAATAACAAGGATAAAGATTTGGACACGGCTCTCCATTACGCCGCCTTGAATGACGACTGTAGCACTGTAAGACGTTTAATACGTCACGGTGCTGACCCGGATGTGCAGAATCGCGTGTGTACCACGCCATTGTGGAACGCCGTTCACGCGGGATCGCTTGAAATAGTAAAAATTCTCTTGAAACGTAATGTTACTTTAGAAGTTGCTTCTGTTGGAATTGATCAACATGCCCAAGCTGAAGAAGTCGTGTTCTTGTATTCAGAGCCGAAAACTCCAATGCATATGATCGGTGAGAAATGTTTGATTGAGTTGGGGAGGATGCTTATTGAATCAGGATACAATATGGCGAAGGAAAGCTGGCTGTTAGATTCAGATGTTATACCAAAAGAACTGGAATCCAACGAAGCCTTCCGGCAGTATCTGATTGAAGCCTACAATACACCCCAGTCTTTGTTACTCCAGAGTAGAAATTTCTTCAGAAAATTGTTCGGTAAACACGTGACCGTAAAAACTGAAGTCCTAAATATTCCTGTTCCTCTTAAATCCTACATAACACTGAAATACTTGTGAATCTGTGACGTATGAATTTTGCTTTTTAGGTAAACGATGATGTGATATGATGAAAAAGACTGGATATTAAAATGATGATGACTCGTATGTCCAGTGAACAAGGAGTAGGCTTTATATAGAGATCAGGCCTTCTCTTGTGACAATCGCCCTTCTTCCCCACCAGTCCCTTGCAAAATGAGATAAATTTAAAAGAGACAAATGTTTCAATATCGCTTCGTTTGTGTGTTTTACTACATGTAAAAGGTCTTCATTCCCAGTTTATTGGCCATTGTTTATAACTGAAGACTAATCGTGTGGGTGATATCAAAGTGATATCGCGGAATAGTCTAACCCATTGCTCTCGATATTTGGTTGTTGATAGATACTAGTGTGTGCTTAAGGCCACATAACTCTGTAAATATTCTCTTTTGGAAACCTTTAAAGTTTGTACACCCCCCTTCTTCAGGAACCAACTAATTTAAAAACCAAAATGTCGTTGGTTTGAAATATGAAACAAAATATTATTCACGAGACTTGATTGATTATTTTTTTTTTATCAAGACCTTAAGAACCTAGAAATTCGATTTCCCTAAAAGTTTCCTGCAGGGCTATGTACACATTGGCGTGCACGTGAAAGATACCTTGACAGAATTTGAAATGAGAGTAGGTCGTAGTGCCGCTGTCCGGGCGAAATTCACCTCACAACACACTGTATGTCGTATGCCCGTCTTCATAACCCCAGTCGGAGCAGAACAGTAGGACGTTAAACCCCATTTAATTTAATTCCATAAACTAATTATTATAATATTTGAGTTAACGCTTAAGGGGGGAGGCTATCCGAAAATTTTTATTCTGAAATGTTAAAGCTATTGAATTGAAAATAGTACAATTAGTTAGGAAATGTAATAAACAAGGCAAAACTAGCATTTAAAAAAGTTGTTGCCAGGGTAACACATTTTTTGGGAAAAAATTATGAAAAACGTAGGTACACTATATCTCTGTAACTAAGATATCTTCGCCAAATTTGCAGGATATATAAACTAATATCTACCACACAATCAAACAGAAAGCAGTTTGAATTATCATTAATATTTCAAAAGTTATCAAAATATTTTTCCAAAGACAAAATATTGTGGTGAGGCAAATGTTTTCAACACCATTTCCCAAGAAACTATAAAAAATATAGAGAAAAACTCTCTGTCCGGTTTTGGAGTTATCATTAAAGAATAAGCAGTTCGAAAATGAGACATTTGTCTTTATTAGTGCCAGAGATATGGTGTACCTACGTTTTTCATACTTTTTAAAAAAAAAAACCAATGTGTTACCCTGGCAACGACTTTTCTTTCTCTATTTTTAATGTTAGTTTTCCCTTGTTTATTACATTTCCTAACAACTTGTGCCTTCTTCAATTCAATAGCATTAAAATTTCAGAAAGCATTTTCCAGGTAGCCCCATCCCTTAAAAAGGCGTCACCGTTTGTCAAGGTATGAGACTTCTTGTAGGCGACATGCGTTCGTCAACGAAACGTTGTTTAACGTTTGTTGTTAAATGTTGAAAATATATATATAATATAGATGTTAAATTGTTCAAAATATATTTATATACATAGTATTAACTTGGTCTTCGTTTGCTGTGAAATATTTTTATGACATGTTTTGATGAATTAATACGATTTACTTTTCATAAGGTCTGTCATCGAGCCAACTGAAGTGGTTTCGATTCGACGGTTGTACGTGACAAGTAGTAGGGTCACCTGTCCAACCTCGTGGTTTTTTCCGCGGGTCCTCCGGTTTCCTCCCACGGCTAAAGACCTCTACGCGCAAGCGAATTATTGAAATGAAATAGAACCATGTGTTAGTCCCGAAATGACCTAGTTTGTGTCGCGTAGACGCTAAACCTTCATTTCATTTCATTGAACGTACCTTTGGTTACGTCTGAATACTGTCCATTATAGATTTTATTGGTTGTGTATATAAGTTATATGTGATATGTACACATCTGTGATAATATGTATATTAATATTGACTATGATGTGCCAGTGTGTATATATTATATATTGGGCTATGATGTATCAGTTTGTATATATTATATATTGGACTATGATGTATCAGTTTGTATATATTATATGTTGGACTATGATGTATCAGTTTGTATATATTATATATTGGACTATGATGTATCAGTGTGTATATATTATGTATTGACTATGATGTATCGGTGTGTATATTATATATTGGACTATGATGTATCAGTTTGTTTATATTATATATTGGACTATGATGTGTCAGTTTGTATATATTATTTATTGGACTATGATGTATCAGTGTGTATAATTATATATTGGCCTATGATGTATCAGTTTGTATATATTATATATTAGTCTAGATATGTAATGTGCACATGGCCGATCATAACTCACACTAGTATGATGCAACGTTTGGGAAATTTTTCCATTTTTCTTGCGTATCGTTAGTTCATTTTTCATTTTAATTCACGTTTGCATCACTGCAGCCCTGGGCTGTACAGCGCAGAGGACGATTACGACTAGCCCCCGGATCCGTTCACTATATCTAATATAAACGTGTCGTGTCCAAGGATTCGTCTTGTGTAATTGTATGTGTGTAATACACCCCCCTGCACTTACTAATATAAACCATGGTGAGATTCTACCCCCCCCCCCGATTGTACGAACCTCGGCCAAAGCTAAAGGTACGGATATTTATAAATATATAAGCAAAGGCCAGTCAGTTCAGCTTCCCATTTGTAAACTTCTCCAAAAATATGAAAAATAATTAGCCTATTGTTAAAGGGGCATTAGGTAAGATTAGACGAATAGCTGACAGTTCTCACTATAATAGTTTTAAAAAAATAGATAATGAATACAGAATATTCTGAAAATATTAGTCAAATTGCTTCACTCTGAATTGCGATATTAGCGATTCAATATTAGGCTAGCCTCGAACGTCATGTACAATAATAAAGTCTAGCTTATTATCTGTTATAAATGGTATTAAATTCCACTAAATATCGCATGCTAACGATGGCTCCAAGAGTTGATTATGGTCTGGATTAGTTAATTAATGTCTAATTAATAATTTAGATAACATTTCAGGCCTATAGAAAGACCTGCAATAGGCAGATTTAGCTCTTGCATAATGTATGTTTAACGATTGCAATTGGTAGACTGTGGCATGTCGTAGCAAAAGATCTACCTGTGAACATATAGGCCTATCTAATCAACCTGATATACTGTTAAACGTTTTTTAATCACACCATTAGATGATATAAAATATATTACGTGCTTCTAGGCAAGGAAACATTCACAATAATAATTAATAAATAACGAGTGTTGATGTCAAATGTCTTTTATAAGGCCTATTCAAAATATACCGGTGTGTGGGGGGAAAGTCGAACGCGGTTCCGGCATCTCCCAATAATCCAAAACACTATTCTACAAGAACTTCTGTCTAGTCCTTCGGATGGGACGAAAAACCCAGGACCCGTGTATATATTGGCGTGCACGTAAAATATCTCTTGGCAGTTGGAATTCGATATAAGAGTTGGCCATAGTGCCACTGCCCGGGCAAAATTTCCCTCATAGCACACTGTATGGCGTATGCCCGTCTTCATTAATCCAGTCAGAGCAAAACAGTAGGACGTTAAACCCCAGTTCATAAATTCATACTAATCATCCCTGCATTGGTCGAGAAAGTTCATTTAGATTTCCCGGCGTGGTTCCCCCTTGTTAGTGATGCAGGAAAGAGGGCCTGACAAGAACAGCTGTCTAGTCGTTCGGATAGGGCGAAAAACCGAGGTCCTGTGTACACACTGACGTGCACGTAAAAGATCTCTTGGCAGTTGGAATTTGATACAAGAGTAGGCCGTAGCGCCGCTACCAGGGGAAAATTTCACTCATTGCACACTGTATGGCGTATGTCCGTCTTCATTAGCCCAGGTTAGGAGCAGAACAGTAGGACGTTAAACCCCATTTCATTTCATTTCATTTCCTGTTCTAAACGGAAATCCTATGGAAATGAAGCGGAAGTACATGTAACTAATAGCCAGGGAGAAACGAACAGCTCGATCACAAATACTATTACAACGTAATATTTCTGTTTGTTTTGAGATGCTATATAATAAACTATATACCTGAGTTGTGGAAATCCATACTCCTCGCAGTGTTTCGTTTGATTAGAGCTAATTCCACGTAAAGGAAGAAAAATTCTCTTCCAAATAGTCCGATTAACAACCAATAGTTAACGGCGTGACAATACCATTACGCTTTAAACAGAGCTGTTTACATAACGTTACGTCAGACTCACGATTTTATTATGCCCAATTAACCAGTGCATAGCAGAATATTGCAGAAAAACGAGGCTATCAACACGGATACAATGTAAACAATACTGTTTGGAGACGAACAAAACTATCATCGTTTTTAATCACTGTCCAAAGTTTTAGGGAAGACCCCAGATTAAACGAAGGCTGTCATGTTGCTGTACTTGGGCTAGATTTGATTGAACGAGAAGAATAGACACACTCCCTCAAAGGCTCAAGTATCAGAAGCTAATCCAGCGATGGCCAGAGAGGGATTTCCAATAGATGTATAAGATGATTTTGACATTAAAATCTTTGTGGATAAATAAACCCAGCAATTATAATACTTTGAGCAAATTATAATAGATTTGAACAAAGGGAAAGCATTGTGGTCTGTATCCAAATAATTTAACGTAGTTATCTCCCCTTAGCCACTTACCATAGATTTTTGCTCGTACGTAAATGAGTTCGAAAACTAATGATAGCTAGCTTCTTTCTGCATATAGGGGGTGGCTCTGCTGTTCAGATTGGATTTTGCTAGGTCTACAGACAGTACTCATTACGTTTAGTTTCTTGCTGCGGCTCTTGAAGAGCAAGAATTGAGTTGGAGATGTCATGTTAGCTTAAAGTAGCCAAGTCTCTAACTCAGTATCATCCAAAGTCTTCGACATTGAAAACACGAATTATTTGACATTTTAATATTTCATATTTGTTATGACCATGTAAGATGTCGTCGTTTGCATAAGCTGATGATAAGAAAGTATTAGGGCGTAGATGCGTGGATTTTGCATAAAGGCCAGTATACACTAAGCTAGAAGTCGACCCAAATGAGTGGAATGGAGTTTAACCTCTCGTTAACAAAATATTTCCGTCCTTCTGAGACTTACATATGGCAATTTCAACATTGGTTTAATAAAAAACACAATATGGAACACAATTACTATTTTAAATAAGGCGACGTTTCGTTGAGGGTTCTCTCAACGTTATTAAGCAAATGAACTTTGTATCTCGAAGACTACCAAACATCCATTTGCTCTTCTGGTATACACAGCAAAAAAAAAATAAATAAATAAATAAAAATAAATAAATAAATTAAAAAAAGAATCGCAACACCCCTATTTGAATATAGTGCTAATGTTCGATCAGATATGTTAGCTATTATACGTCCTAGAAGTTGTTCCGTCTCCCTGGTCAAAAGGATGACGTCGCAAGAGTCTCTAAAGAGTTGCATCTTATCTTGCAGATGTGTTGCGAGGTCTACCAGAACGGTATCCGTCCTTTACGTTATTAGTTCGTTGATGTTTTCTCAATAATCGACTAATGATCGACGGGTGATGACCCATTGAATGTCACCCTCGGTATCCCCGGTGGTGACCCAGCTGTCGTGCAGTTTGTCTCAGTGACAGACCAGCACTTCTCACGCCAATAATCCCTATGAAGTCTCTCGGCTAACATCGGGATCGAACACGGGACCTCAAGGTTAGCGAGCCAACGTCTTACTCACAAACCCAATCTGAATAAAACATATATCCTATTTCGTTTCATTTCATTTTTAAAGTTCAAAACGAAATATAGATCCGTATTTTAATCAGATTGTTACAAACCGAACATGGACGTAATATATTTAGTCACGTGTTAACGTTATTTTGAAAGACATTTCTTTCAGATTACAGGTGTCTGTGATAAAATTGAAACAAAAAAAGAGAAGATTTTCACGACTTAATCATTATGGCGATCAATAATCCGACAAAAGTAAACAAGGCGAGATAAATACGTTTGATCGTAAGGATACAGACCACAGCGTTTTGTTTCTTGTTCTAATATTTTGGAAAATTTGAGTATTTCCTTTATAGCCTAATCAAAAAATCTAATCTATTTAAAAAGTATTATGTCTATTGGGGTTTTATAGAATCCCAAAGGTATTCGAGTATTGAAGTAGGTCTACTGCCTTTTCAAGAGGAAAGAAAAAGCTGTGGTCTGTATCCAAACAATTAAATGTAGTTATCTCCCTTTAGTCATAATTATTGGAGTATCAATCATAATGCCGTTTAAGGCGTAAACAACTGCTTTCGTTTTTTTTCAAATTTTATGTCAGATGTTAACTTTGCTTAGCTGTTGTCTATTCTTTGCTGCCTTCCTCTGTCACCGGAATTTTCAAAATGAAACGATCACTAATATTTCACCGTGAATGTACTTTTATTTTTTTAAGGAATCATTTCTCGTCATATCTGACACAAATTTATAATAATTCAACACTATGTTCAAGTAGAATTTAGTGATTAAATAACCATGCGGTCTGCGCATGTTCGAGTCTTGTAATGTCTGATCAGTTCAAACATATTTTGTGTATGTTTGAAAATAGTGTTGAATTATTATAAATGTGTGTCAGCTGTGGTAAGAAATGATTCCTTTGGCAAAATAAAAAAAAAAGAATCAGGGTGAAAAATAGTTGGTAAGGATTCCAAAATAGCCTTAGACCAGAGGTGGAATTTTCATATTACACCTATAAAGAAAGCGATAGGAACTGTCAGCGGACATCGTCCGATCAGAGGCAGTCCCTGAAGGAACTAGGTTCACCTACAGGGCCGTAACTAGCTGAGAGCAATGAGGGGGGGGGGGCGGGAAGTTTTCTCGGGGGTGCTGTGATATTGACGGAAATGTATATCTATTTTTTTATGGTCGAAATTTTTTTCACAGGGGGACGAAACTCTCTCTCTCTCTCTCTCTCTCTCTCTCTCTTAAAATAAAATTAAACCATGTTAGTCCCAAAATGACCTAGTTTGTGTCGAGTGGACGTTAAATCCCCCCCCCTCCCCCGCCTCCTAAATGTTTGGTTCTTATTTTTATTGATACGGGACTCTCTTGCAAGTTTTATGTTTAAGCGTAGCACACTGAAAACCCCCAAAATTGTGGTTATTTATTTTTTTCTTTAACATTCTTCTATCAAACACACCTTCTTCTTGTCGCCTTGGTGTCCTCATTGACCAAATATTTTGTTAATACCATTAAGAATGCGAAGATTAAGATAATCTATAACAACATTATCAATAATTCTAAAGATTTTATTGATACCAAGATGTCTGCCTATCAACCTGCCATTTTCTACACAAAATCCAGATTATTATTTAAGCCGCCCCTCCTTTTCATCATTTAAATCGAATTTACAATGATCGGAAACAAACCTGAGAGATTTCCTTTACAAAGTAAAAGATTATTTTATTGAATTCAAAATTATAAATACCGAACTGAGAAAGAAAACAAAATAAAGTTCACAAACATAAAAGGATCGTGTCAACAGAACGAATATCAAGAATATGATAAAACGATGAAAAGGTAACGAATATGATCCATACTTTAATCTTATTCACAAGAAAACAGGATTAAATCAATTGAATTAAATAAAAACATAATTGTTGTACTTCTATAAAAATAATCCAGTAGATATTGAGAACTGAAAAAAAAATGAATAGAAATGTCCTTTAAGAAATGTATTTACAAAAAAGTGTAACCGCATTTGACAGAAATTTTTGAAAGAGATGACTAAACTAATACGTATCATTTGTACCTATTCGGTTAGGTTTTTCTATTCGATGGGTATTAAGATTTAGTTTTTTGTCGGAAAACGAAAAAGGGGTCAATCAGACATCCCTATCTTTTAATGACCCTTAATATAAAAAAAAAACTGGATTAAATAATACATACCTTTGGTAAGATGTTTGCCGTTTTGGCGGCGCTGGAATTAGAGCCCCACAGTCAGAAAGAAATAAGATTTAGTTTTTTTGTCGGAAAACGAAAAAGGGGTCAATAAGACATCCCTATATTTTAATGACTCTTAATATAAAAAAAACTGGATTAGATTATATACATACCTTTGGAATAATATGAAAAATAAAAACTGGATTAGATTATATACATACCTTTGGTAAGATGTTTGCCGTTTTGGTGGCGCTGGATGGAATTACAGTACCACAGTCAGAAAAAAATAAGATTTAATTTTTTGTCGGAAAACGAAAAAGGGATCAATAA